CATACTGAAAAACCAAGAGGTATTTATTGATTCACAAGTTTGACTTGAGCAACTGGGACAGAAGCTGGTTTGGATGAACTTCAGTGCTTCTGTTTACATTCCCAATCTTTGTCTTTTGAGCTTCTAAAAATCTTCAGAGCTGTGTCCTTAGCGGCAACTGTGACACAGCCTGATCTCGTTGACGCTTGTGCTACTTCACATGGCAGGGTAAATGGGAGCTCTCCAGAGGACCCAAGACGTCATGCTGAGGGTAGCAGATGTCTCCTTATGTGGTGCTGTCATGCAAGTCTTTAAAAATATGGAGATTGTTCAGGCATGCTACATGATGTAGGATCCCAGATCATACTTTGGGCCCTTAAGCCATTTAGATGCTACAGAAAGTTGGTAATTATTTATTTATGAAACATAAACTGGTAGAGTTGGAAAGCACTTTCTTCACCAAATCTGATTTCCCTGCTTTTGCTGGCCAATGGTTTTGAGCAGTCCTAACTGAAACCCTTCTGCCTCTCACATCATCAAGAGGCTTTCCTAAAAGCACCTACCTAAAAAATAGGTCCAAGCTCTACGTAAAAGATGTAAAATGTACAAGTATAGAGTAGGATAAAGAGAGTTACAGTCGTCAAAAGTTTGAAACTCTCTCCCATAGACTCTGTCTTCAAATTATTAGCTAATGCCCTAATAATGTACAACAAAAAGCTCACCTGAATTAATAAGAATTGCTGGTTCTCATAGACAGCTTGGCTAAGAACTGTACTCTTAGACTAGAAATATTCATAGCAAACAGCAATTTTAGCATGAAAATGTATTTTTTCTAGTAGTGGTACCATCGTAGCATCAAAGAGCCCTGAGCAAGGAATGTACCACTGCTGCCTCTTCAGGTGAAAACCAAAGAGATGCCAGGAAATTGCATCACTTTATAAAACAGGAGATAAGCTGAGGCTAGGGAGATGTGGGAGTAAATGGAAATACTGAAGAGGGGAGAGTGCTCATCCTGGTAAGCAGTGCATTCTTCAGTGTAATCAGTGATGAGGAAAGCACTAAGAAAGTGTCTGAAGGACATCGTCTTGCGGGGTGGGCAGAACAGTCAGGGGCATGGAAGTTTGGTTGTCTCACCAGCAGATGTAGCGGCAAGCATTGGCAGTCAAGGAAAACTGATGTGGGAGATAGTGGAGACAGGTGAGGATTAGCTGTATAGGGCCTTGCAAGTCGTGAAAAAGCAGTGATACCATAGCTATCCAGTAAACAAACTTTTGGAACACAGAAAATTCAGAGTGAAGATTAGATTGAAAGCAAATCCAAGGATGCTGAGATACGAGACTGCATCCAGCCAATACTCATTTTGCCTTATTCATGCAAAGCAATAGCTTAACAATTGCAACTAGTGAATAATAGTATTGGTAGTGCCAGATTAAATTGAACTAGGGTTTTTTCCCCTTGGGATGACCACTAAAGAGAACTTGGCTTCCTTCCATTTGGCAAAAGTCAGGGATTGTTTATTTAGGAATACAACAGTTTACTTACGGCAGGCTGATGGTCCCACTCCAGTTGCAGACAACGGGAAATAGCTGCTGTTGTGAAGTGGCTCCACTGAAGTGCCTGCAAGTGTCCGATGTTCTATTATGTAGGTGATTTGGGAGAAAGCATTGTTTAATGAAGGTTATCAGATTTGTCAAAGGATTTGTTCTCTAAATTAATTTTTCCTCACAAATTAGTTAACTTTTCAGTGTTGTGCAAGGACACACTAAATGTTCCCCATGCTTTTAATCCCCTTTAAATAAAATTAATCCCTGCTTTAGTTCTGGACCCACAGCTGATGCTTCTATGGTAACAAGGAGAGATATCCTACAAGTTGCTGTCATTTGGCTTTTTTTAGTTACACGATTTGCACAGCAAGCTAATTTGTCCTTATCTTATAAATCATTTAAGTGTAAATAAAAATGGAACAGAGAACAAATCTAATGCTAAATTTGTAAAAGAGATCTCTACATCTACATGGAGAGATCTGCAGTATCTACAGTTTAGGGAGAATTTAATCCAGTTAGTTTCAAAACACAGTATGTGTTCATTCCACATTTTTGTTCACTTCAAAATTACCAAAAAAAAAAAGACCTGTAAAATTCAGTCCTTAAATACTGAAAGTATATAGTCTACCACTGCAAGTGTAAAGCCTTTAATTTGGGAAAGAGGCAGCACAGTATGTAAATTGTACTTCAGTTCTTCGTTTCTAAAGGCTTGGATTCAAATCCGGGGTTGAACCCAAGAGAAAATTAGTCTGATGGTTTCAATTCAGTCTCTAATGTGTTCAAGGCCTATTACAAAACTGCAGAATAATCCAACACAGTCAGCAGCAACAGCAGCAACAACCCCCTGGATTGTTGGGGGTGATGCTGGTGAGGGACCATCTCCTGTGGAGCTTCTTTTGCTCTTGGAAAATTTGGCCAAATGCGTTTTGAGGTTACTCACCCCCTCAGCAGCCCATCATATATTAGAAAAAAAGCAGTAAAAGCAGTGACAGATAGCAGCTACTTGGAAAATTAAAAGAGAAATATGGAAACTAGTTGTGAACTGGGGTTTTGATTATACAGGGGAGGGAAACGTGGCAGGTGGGAGAGGACAAGACCACGAGCAGAGGTGCCCTGATCCTTGTTGGGGCAGCATGGCCCATGCAAATGGGGCTGGTCCTCATCTGCTTCTCCCATGGGGATGTGTCATGGGTTGCAAATGGTGGCACTGGGGCAAAAACTTACCAGAAAATGATGGCCCTCCCTCAGAACTTCTTGAAAAGCTGTACCTGTGTTTTGAACATATTTCTTACCCTCTTTAAAGGTAATGAGCTTCCATTACTGGTTTCATAGGTATGATAGGTATGTAGAATAACAGAAGGAGTTAAACCTCGGTCTGAACTTTTCTTCTGCATAGCTGTTTCACATGGGATTCAAAGCCAGCCTGAGCAGAGGGTGATTTGAGCCATACATTGTGTGGTCGTTTACACAGAAAATATGCATAAAATACATATTCCTAGATAATGTGTAGCTGTGTATAAGAGCATAAAGATAGTTTTATAAACTAATGAGATAAATGATGCTTTTGAGCTTTCATAAAGGGTTGATCATACCCACCGTATAAATAAATATGTATTCAGCCCTTTGCCAAACTGCCCATTTCTTTATCTTGACAACCTGAATGGAAACTCCATCAGAGGTACTTCAGTAAATATTCTGTCAGACAGCACAAGGATATGCAAACATTAAATGGTAATGGGATTCTATCTGTTTTGTGTTTAATAGGTGGCTTTCATCCGGCAAGAGATTACCTATTTACATACCCCACTATCAAGTGTATGCTTACATATAACTTAGCACCTGAGAAATAAGTAAGGCTTATAGAGGATTTTCCACAGCTTGTATGCAATTGTAATAACAAGCTTAGGATCTATTTATCTATCAGTTTCCTAAGACATGAAGGGTTATGTATAAATTTGAATTAAGTTCTAGCCTGAACATTTATTTTTAGCATATGTATTTGACTGCCTGCAGATAATAGGAGTCACAAATTACATTCCTAAATATACATTAATTGCTAAGTTATTGGCAACCATACTTGAAAATCATCAACAGAAGAATTCCAACTATGTCTTTTGCATTGATAAATAAAGGATGAGTTATGGAATCTGACAAAAAGTGTTATTTTGTACTTTGCTCATAAAATCCCATAGACAAAAATGTACTGGACAGTTTTCATTCCTTGCCAGATCTTTCTCTTTGTTAAAAAAATAATTATTCACTTATGTGGCACTACCATGACCTTTTTAAAGGCAGAAGAAGTGATTGTCACACTTTCCCTCGGCATGTTATGCGAGGTTCAAAGACGAGAGGGCACTGCATTGACGATGCTGAAAAGGTCAATGCAATTTGGCATTATTGTATCTTTTTCAGATGCTGAACTGTGGTAAGAAGGCAGAATTATTCTAATTAATCATTTATTTCATCTTTCATTTTTAATGTGACCAAGATTTCCCCAAAAAAAGTGTTTGAGCTAATTATTACTTTTATCAGTATTTGTTTTAATATGAACAATTCAATAAAAAGCCAAGTTCTCGGTTTGACATTAAGGCCAGGTAGATCTTCTTTAGAAGCTCACAGTATCTGCTTCAGCCACAGAGATTTCGCAGACTTTCACCATTTTACCAGACACGCAAGAGGGCAAAAGTAGGATGGGAGAAAGAAGAAAATCTGTACTGTAACACCCATGTGCTCCTCACAGACAGCTTCTTCCAGGTCAATATGCCTGGAGAGCCGTGGTAGTCGAGGCACACTGGGGCAAATGCATGGCCTCATTGGATGTTGCTGAGGTGGTAAATACAGAAATGCAATAGGAAAAGGAGATGTGTTGGGCGTGGGGGCAGCTTCAAGACCCCTGAGACTGCTGCATCACAAGAGCTAGTTGCCTGTTGAGCTATTTGTTATGCTACTTGAATGAAATATAGCAAATAGCCTTTTCACTCATAGGCTTCAGGCCCAAAGTTTAATGTATGGCAATGTATAGCAATTTTAAAGGCAAACACCTCTGCTGACAAAAATTCAGGCATGGAAATCTGACATGTTTCACAGCACGAAATTCTTACACCATCAAAATATCCATAACAACTTCTGATATGCTACTAATTTATTTGTACACACCGTTGTGTATGCATACATAATGGCAGTACTTTGAAATGGAAATAAATACCCAAAGATATGGTACATATTTCTTCCATGCAACTACAGTTTTGCAAGGGTCGGAACTGCGTTTGTAGGGAAGCAGGTACAAGATTAAGACACAGTCTTCATTGGGTCTGGGCCAAGAAAGATAGAAGATGACCATCCATTTTTCATTTTTATTTTGTGTCAGGGAGCAGTAATTTATTAGCAAATGTCCAGCTTGCTCTGAGCTCTGATGGTGCGTGAGCAGGATAACTGCCCTTGCAAACCCAGTGTAATGTCTCCTCCTTTTGTCCACAGCATAGCTGCCAGTCAGACGGCAACTCTGTCTACTTCCACGGGACAGAAGGCAGCGAGTTCAATTTCGCCACAACCCGGGACGTGGACCTCTCCACGGAGGATGCTCAGGAGCAGTGGGCAGAAGAGTTTGAGAGCCAGCCTAAAGGGTGAGTGCCTGTCACCTGCGCAGGGTCCTAAGCAGGCTTGCAGCATCACTTCAGGGATGAGGAAACTGGATAAAGAGAGAACTGCATTTTGTATTTGCTGTGTCTTCAGGGAAGATTGTGACTAGAATAAACACAAATAAAATAAATAACAGGTTATTGTAGATTTTAGGAAGACACAAGTCCGGAAGGCCCAAAAGAAACAGTCTATCTTCAGACCATTCTGTCACCAAAGCTTTTAATGAAAAAAGTTGTGCTTGTAAATTATATAGTCATTCTGAAGAAACACGTCATATTGACCTGGTTTTATATTGTCACACCTGAATGATTTTAACAAACTCATATCCGTATGAAATCAAATTCCTCAAGAAATTCATTCCCTTCTGGATCCCTGCTGTGAGCCATGCTTTGCCATGAGAGCGCTCCTGTTTGTGCAGAAGCCTGCAGGTGCCAGAGGAGGAGGATGTGGAGGCAGGACAGCTGAAGCAGCAGCCTGCTCTCACTTTCCACCACCAAGAGCATGGCCATGCCTGCTGTGCCAGAGCTGAGGATCTGGCTGATTAATTATTGTTTTTACTTTAAATATGTATAGGGATTCAAAGCATACCTGCAAAGCCAGATCCATCAGGGAGTGCTGCAAGGGCAAAGGAAGTAAAAAAAACATCTAGTACAGCAAAATTACCACTCTTACAAAACATGAGTGAGTTAAAAAAAAAACAAGTGTCCTAGTAAAGAAGTATCATATTATATATCTCAGTGTGTAAATTCTGACAAAAAGAAAATAACCAATAATGTGGTCTTCATTTTTTTTTATTTTTTTAAAAAAAAAGTCATTTCATTAGTTGCTGTAACCCCAGGGCAATGAGAAACATAAACTGTTAATTTATGGGTCTGTCCTGAATGTTGATTTTAACCCACAAAGTGTTTCAGATCATTAGCAACTGATTCAAATGCTGCCTGTGCTGTGCTGAAGGTAAAGAGGGCTGTTAAGAAGAACATGCTAATGTGTCCTATGGACACGTGGTTTATTTGGGGCTTACAGAAAAAATACTCAGAGTGAACCCTGTCTGAATAATCAACCCATGGCATAGCGAATGCTGTTTCAGACAAAGGCCAGAAGTTGAGTATGTGTGTGTTATGTATTAGGTGACCATGTGGGATACATTTGAGATGTTCTCTTAGTCTCTTTTGCATCTTGAAAAACCAGAATGGCTAACTGGGGACATCTGCCCTGTCTGTAGATCCTGTCTCTGCTGGACCAGGTGTTTAGTTGAGCTAAGTTGGGCCAGAACCCTCATTGCCAGCTGTTCTAATCAGGACACCTCCTTCTTAGATAATGAATAAACCTTTAAAAATTAATTACATCACTAAATGCAGCAGTCAGTAGAAATACAGAAATAAAATTCTTATACCATACCTGAGTTAGCAAATGCACAATTTCTTCTGATTTAGGAATACTACATTTTCACTGTCCCACAGTGCCTAACTGCAGGCCACAGATGCCCCCACTCCCAGCTGTGATTGAGGCAGGGTGCAGCTGGCAGATGCGTTTGGCACTCTCAGTCCCAGGAACCTCATCTGCCTCCCTGCAGTTAAATCTTGGTGGTGCTGCAGCCTGCCCTACCCAGGGGTAACTTTGTTTTCCAAGGCACTACATAGCCAGCCCAAGTCCTTAAAACCACTTTTTTTAGTTTTTTCTCATTTTTTTCTTTTCAAATTTTATTCTATATCAGAAACTTCCTTCTTTGAATTTTTGCTATAAGAATGGAGGTTCAAATTGCATGCAGCCATGAATACACCCTAAGCTCAGGTGATGTTATGGACCATGGTCTAAAATTGTCACCATCACTGTCCCTCCTTGCAACATTTCCGTGGGGCTTTGCTTTGGGAATTTTACACAGCTGCAAATAGATGAGCTTCCTTAATTCCTTCTTAGAGAAGTAATTTTGACTGTTATTTGAACTGTATTTGAAATACTGTTTTGCTGCATTCAAATCATCATTCACAAAAAGACTTTACTGCGGAGACAGAGGTCGCAGGAAGTTCTCAGGCTCCTCTCTTTGTAACATCATTTGGAGCTTGTCAGCTCTCACAGAAAGGCAAAAGCATCCCTGTTACGGGAAAGCAAAATGTAGGGGTCACCACCAGCTTCCTCTGACACCTGAAAGAGCTCTGCAGTTAGGGCAGAGGAGCTTACTGTTGTCTCTAATAAGCCTCTCTAGCAGATTTAGACCTCCATGTTCAGTAGATCTAATTTAGATCCATATATCATTCTATCATCTGTTTTGTGAAGAAGAATTTCAAGAGGGACGTGAGGGATAAATGAATCCAGAAGTAATGTTTAATCAAGAACATCTACATCTGTCATGCCATCACCCAGGTTCCTTCTCCATTTATCCTTACAGACAGTGTCTTAAAGTACTCTTACTAAAATGCCAGCTTTTTAACGTAGTAGAACTTTCTGGCTTTCATTTCTAATGCTGCCTAAAAGGCGAGGATCCCTGGGAACATCCATGATCTGCATCATTCATGACCCCGAGCTGTTTTGTGGGTCACTACGGAGGGTGTTTTAATTGAGCTAAATAGAGCATACAAAAGATCAATGGAGCATTGTGAGATTTTGCCGTGTAAGTTAAAGTAGGCACAACCCTTTAATTCGGTATTTCCTTCAGCCTGAGACCCGTTTTCAAAACTGTGTTGTGATGACATTGCACATTACCTTTAAAAAGTCTGCACGGTTAAAATGCTTCCCTCAGAATTAGGGTTAGGTTAAACTGTACTTCCAGTAACATATTTATAGCAAAAAAGCTTTTCAGTGATGCTAAGCTTGCTAATTCCCGTGGAAATGGCTGGCAGATTTAAAGCAGGATTTCCAAACAGGCACGTTGCTGGTCTGTCACAGCTTAGGTCGACAGGAACACCAGCAGCTTTTAAGGAGATGCTAGAGATACATTTTGAAATAGTTTGAAGGGTTAAACTGATAAATACACTGTTAAATTGTTGAAGTGACAGTTTTTGAAATTGTTGTGTGGCACATCACTGCTAGAGATTGTTTCTGCTGGAAGTGGACAGGAAAAAGCTTTGTCTTCCCACACAGGTTTCAGAACTTCAGTGTTTTCTCATTCATCCGGAATCACGCTGGCTATTTAAATGATTGGATTATCAGGATTTAGTGATTCTAAATAATTTCATTGCTTTATCAGCCTTATAATTTTAAAATACTTTAATTATGAATTAATTAAGACTTCAACATGAATAATAATGTATCAGACCCAAATAATGTACAAGTTTTCAAGTTCCTAATCTTTCAAAATGTTTTAATCAAGTTTTGAAGAAACCAACGCTTTCATGATGAAAACATGTTTTCAATAAGTATTTAATTGAAAAATTCTGCAACAGCTCTTTTAATTATCACTGAATAAAAATAAGATAAAATGTCGTACAGAAAAACTGAGAAAGATCGTATCATCACGTATTAGAAACACAGCAGTCGTTTTTCGTACCCTGTTCATGTGTTCATTAAAAACTGTTACCCTATGTGCTCAAAAAGATGAGAAGGGAGTATTTTCAGCTATTACCTACATATTTAATGACTTCATAGCAGATATGGTGGACATGTGCCTTTTCAGGTTTCATTATACAAAATGAAACAGAATGTAGTTATATTTTAAACATTTTTATGCCAGCAAAATAATGAAGACAATAGAACAATACAACAATAAATATTTGGTAATAGCATCCATTAAAAGCCTTATTTTTTTCAGTAATTCATCCTTTTCTGCCAGTGTATTTAAAATACTTACATTTACTTTGCTTTATGTGTATCAGCTGAGTTTAAAAACTAACACTGAACGTGTAAGGAATGTTGTAGGAATCATGTTTGAAACTGCCGTTTGTTGGCCTCTGTAAGAGCAGCAGCAGCTACTTTTGTATGTACAGATGAACTCCTAGAACGTCTTGTATGAGTTTATTGGTAACCTGCCTCTGTACATTCTCTGCCCACTGTTGATCTCTCCAGGTGGGACATATTCGGGGCCGTCATTGGTACTGAATGTGGGACACTGGAATCTGGCTCAGCGATGGTATTTCTCAGAGATGGAGAAAGAAAAATATGCACTCCATACATGGACACTACGGGTTATGGGAACTTAAGATTTTATTTCAGTATGGGTGAGTATATATTCCTAACGTAATACAATGTGACGCGTGTGAGATTTAAATCACACAGTGTGCATAGAACTATTTTAAATGCTCCTCAGAAGAGGACAGGTCTGATTCATGACTGTGATTCCCATGAAGATGTAAGACTGACCACTCTTGGTCAGACCGAGTGTCCATTCTTCTGGATGCTCACACACGTGTACAGACACTGTGGGCACATACACAGATCTCCCAGAAATATTCTCCCAGATGGTACAGACTTGCAGATGAAAATGTTTCTGAACCAGACAGCGCATTCTGGGTTTAGTAGCCTCTGTGGGCATTTCTCCTACGGACTTATGCAGACATTTTTTTGGCCTATATAAACATTTAGCTCCAGGTTAAAACAGTTTAGTATAGAAGTTCTGGGAAGGTATATCCATGTAAGGTCAGTGTCTAAACTTCCTTTAGAGTTAGAGGAGATGTGGTCAGTACTGTTGCTGGAACAATCCATTCAGCTCACTGTGAGATATCTGTGTCAGACCAGCTGAGCAGCTCCTTAGACTCCACTGACTGCATGGTTTGGATCTCCCTTGATCTAAAGGAAGCTTGAGCACCTGGTGCACATACAGGTGTGGGTTCACTCTTGCTCAGGCCTCAGGCAAGATTCATTAGACAAGCACAGGTTGTTGTTGCCACTTGAGGTGTCCAAGCATAGCTGAGATACCAGCACAAGACAGTCAGATATAACTTGGGATTTTTGGAGAGGCACAGGCTGCAGGAGTAGCAGGTAGGTCATGCAGGTCCCACTACAGTGTCTAAAATGATCATTTGTACTAGTTTTTATCAACTGAACCTGCCTGTGTACCCCCAAGACCCTGTAGCCACTCCATAGTCAAATAATTCCTCATGTGAAGTAGTATCTTCTCTTGTACCGTCTTATTTCATTCAATGAGCCTGACTTCTTATATTAGAAGAGATGGTCATATCTTTGTCATCCTCACCACGATACCACAGAGGATTTTACAGGTACCTGGCATATCCTCCTACAAACATGTCCATGTGAACCCTGGTGTTAATTCATCAGAGTGAACAGGGTTGCACCCGAGGATGAGATAATGAGTAGCACAGAGGTGGGACAGCCTTATCTGGTTGAACCCACAGTATAATTTCTGCTCAAGAGCTCTTACTGTATTCATAAACATTTTCCTCTGTTAATGTATTGGCCCAGGGTGAGATTCACACAGGATGTGCTGTAGTGTGCTGCAGTCTTGGAGGAGGTATGGCCTACATGTGGCATCCCTAGTGAAAAGCACTGATGAAGTGTTAGCATCATCCGTGGACATTACTGGCTGGGACAAAGTGCAACCTCTGTGATTTATCAGGGCTAAGAAATCAGCCAAGAGCAAACCTGTCCTGCCACTTCCTCTCCCTGCAGTTGCTGTCAGTGCAACTGCATTAGTTTTGTGCTGCAACAGAACAAAATCCTATGAACGTAGTGTTATCATTCAGTACCTCACAGTGTTTTTCCAGAACTTCTATTTTGCACACAAAGGAAATGGCATGAGGTTATTCTCTCAACACTATGCTTGGAGGTGAGGGGTTTTGCTTAAAAGTAGAGAATAATAAAATAATAAAGGAGGAAGCAGAGGCAAAACTTGTGACCTCCACAAGCAACCTTCTGAATCAACAAGAAAAAACAGCCTTTATTTAATGAGTGGAAGACCTCATGTTGTCCTAAATTGTCACACATCTCCTCTGTTACGTGAATTACCAATAAAGCACAGGAAAAAGACGATGCTTTTTCCCAGTTCTTCCAAGCGCTCCAACACCTGCAAGAGAAACAGGAAAGAAATTCACTCAACCTTCTGAACTTAGTGGAGAAGTTGTCAACACATGCAGGCACAGAGAATAGTGGGATATCACTTGAAAAATGTATTCTGTACACACTTGTAAATTAAACAAATAATAGTTTAAACATTCAGGCAAGCAGGGGGTTTGAAAGGACACATGGATGTTCCGTATTACAGAATAATGCAGGTCAAAGTTGCACATCTTACCTAGCTTTCTGAACTGCTGGGGTTTTTTTTAATATCTGCAATACCCATAGTGTAAAGGGAAATTATGTTTCCTGTTTCAATTACAGATTTTTTTAAAGTATTTTAAAAATTATTTTAAACTAATTTTTTTAATTATTATTATTTTAAGTTTTCCAGAACACCAAACTTATGTGATGATCCAACTTGTAACTATAATGCAGAGCTTAATGCTCAGATTTGCCAGTACAGCTGCTCTTTCAGAGAAGGTTAATAGCTGGTTTGGGTTCTACCGACATGAAGATATTTCAAATGCTGCCCCATTCCAGTGCAGCAACCATGTCACAATACACTCCATCCATCCCCTTTAGGGTATGGTGTGGATAGTAGAAGAAGCAGCACAACAAAAAAGGTACAGAACAGTCTTCCTAATTTCCTACGAAAAGCAAATTCTCAGCTGCCAAACTATCAGCTGAGTAGTATTTAAGTGGTCCTTACCTACGATATGTGTGGCTGCATGGAGTGTGAGTATTATATAATAGTTTACTGATGAGAACTGAAAAAGCAGAGCATTTCTATGTAAGTAGCATTTAAAGCATACAGGCAGAAGTATTGCTTTGGGCACAGCAATTTCTATTAAAATTGTTTTCATAAGCTGATTAAGAGTTACTTGAGGTTTTCATAATTGTCAACCCCTCTGATCTCTGTCATGGTGTATCTGATCAAATAGTTCTTCTACGTTGTGTCCTTAGGGCTGGTGTTCTTTTGTTTCGTATGCTAAGTCAAATAGCATCTGGTTGTAAGTATTTTTTGTAATTATGGCTGCTTGGTATGATTCTACTTTCCAATAACAAGGGCTTCAATTAATTGTTTTTTTTCTCCCTCAAATGTGTGTTTTTCAGGGGGAACTTGTGATTCTGGAGAATCCCATGAGAATGATGTCATACTTTATGCTAAGATTGAAGGCAGGAGGGAACACATACCTCTTGATACCCTGACCTATGCTGCTTACAAGGTAAATTGTCTTAAACAATGTAGGTGGATGGGATGGATAGATCAATCTATTTTTAAGCCATTGCAACAATGCTGTTTGTTGCATTCCATAGGGACAGTCAAACTGACCTTCCCAAGTACATAAATCACGTGCAGATCTCACAATGTTAGGGTGCCTTTGCGACACAGCTCTGCAGTTATTGCTTATTACTCCGCCCCAGAGCAGGACTGTGGCATTGACTGGTGCTAGGGTAACGAGCAAACGGCAGTGGGCAAAAATTCTCAGCTACCGGCTGAAAACTTTGGTGATTACACCTCCTCACAAATAATTACTCCTGTCTCCAGTCAAGCTCCTGCTATCCATCGTTTGATACTCAGGAGCTTCATCCTAGAGTCATGGTGAGATCAGTGGCTGGGAAGAGAGAAACTGGGAAATGCCTGGATGTTGCCTGCACCTTTCACATTTTACTCTTTTTGTTTCCACTTTAAATACAATTGTGTGTCGTCTCAGAGGCTCTGCAGTGATGTGGGCGTGAACTCAGCCGTGGGATGTGGTTGTTGGCAGTGTGCACCGGCAGATTTTCCTCTGCTGATAGTGCAGCCTCCTTCCAACCATGTCTGCCACCCTCAGGCAGGACAATAAGGACTTCGAGCACGACTTCGAGCATCCCCAGGACCCTCTAGGGCAAGGAGACACTTAGACCACATCTATCCTGATTAACCCAGCCCTGCGATGCCCTTAGTGTGCTGCTGTAAAAAGAGATAACAAAAATTGATACATACATGTCAATGGATGCTCTAGAGATGGAAATGCAGTGTGCTAACGGAGTGTGTAAGAAATTTGGTGGTAAAGGTGCAGCTGATTTCAAGCACAGGTCTGCGTGCATTTTTCACTGTAACTGTAGCACTCAGAGAACAAATGTTTACAGTAGGGTTTGGCTTGAGTTTAGTTGAGTCACTTGCATTGTTTCATTGTGCATGGCTTCCCTCCTCGCCTGGTTCTGTGTGAAAGACAGGGTAGAACTTTTTTTGAAACTAAGGAAACTGTAATTGTAAAGTAATAAAAAATCAATTGGGGAACTCAGGGAGAGATAGGATCTGAAATTACGCTGAATTCATTGTGAAGTTTTTTTAAAACAAGCAGTTTTAAAGCTGACATCCTCTTTTGACATAATAAAGGTCTAATTGCGTTGGTTTAGGACAAAGGCTAAGTTTCGTAAAGCAGTGCTTTCTTTTATTTCCACAACATAACATCCTCCCTACATACGCCTGTGAACTCATGCTGTTACTCCATTCTCACGTATTCAGACTAGACATGCCATTGCCCTGCATTTGCTTCTGCGAGCTGAAAGGCTGCAGGACAAATATCATCCTCATTGCCAACTGAGCACAGACAAAATAAACTGGTATTTTGCAGAGGGTGCAGTCTTTTCTACAGTGTCTTTACAACCAAACTGATCCCACTAAGGTGATAAGCAGCACTGGTATCCAGACTGTTAATAGCTATGCATATAGTTTAAAATGTTTTTTATTTGGGATCTCCTGTGGAAAATGTCAGCTAAAAATTTTTGACAGAAACGAAGCAAGGAGACAGAAAAGCACGTGTTTGGTTCAGCACATTTGAACTTGGTTTTCCATTTTGAGTAGTACCTTGTGACCTTTTTTAACACTATTTGTTTTATTTAAGCCTGATTTAATTTCTTTTGAAGGTTCCATCTTTGGTTTCTGTTGTCATTAGTCCGGACCTGCAGACTCCAGCAACCAAGTTTTGCCTGAAGCAAAAGAGTCACCAAGGCCACAACAGGAATGTCTGGGCTGTGGATTACTTCCATGTTCTTCCAGTGCTGCCTTCCACAGTGACTCACATGATCCAGTTTTCCATCAATTTGGGTTGTGGAACTTATCAACCCGGTAACAGGTACAGTAGGCAAGATTTCTCCTTTGTTTATCAGCGTTCTAGTACATTTTGGTTTACAGCATCTAGATGAGTATTTGGATTATCTTTCTTTTCTTAGAAAGTATGAAGCCAATTAATAATGACAGATATAAGCTGTTCAAAAGCTAATGTTTCTCCTGATCTCCACAGGCCCTGGTTTATATACTCCATGTGCAATAAGGAGTATATTAAATGCCTTTTGAGGTCAAAACTTGCTTTTCTTAGTCCATTATTCAGAAATATGCTCATGATTTCAAAGTGGCTTTTGTTCCTGTTTCTAATGGGTATGAGATTCACCTCTTAATACTGTGTAAGGGGGAAAGTATTAAAGGCAGCGACAGAAAACTGCCCTGCTGACCTCCCAGGGATTACTGATGCCACGAGCATGTCTAATTCTTGCAAGACTGGTGATAAATGGCCCTCATGTTGACAACCATCTGTATGAAGGCCTTACTGTCTGTACACTGACCACTGAACTCTTTCTCTGGCTTCACTTCATTGGGACATTCAACATTATTTTTCCCATAGAGTTAATGAGGAAGGAAAGGGAAGGAAGGGAGGCATTTGCTGCTCCACGTTTTGGAGAATTTTAGAAAGTGTTGGTTGGAAAGGACCTTCACATGTCACCTAGTAAAACCTGCTGCTGCAGTTGGGATTGTTATCAGCATAGGTCAGGTCAGCCCTGGCTTTTCCTGTCCATAACTTGAAAATGGATCCATGGATCAACATTGTGCTACCTGTCTGGGCAACCTGTTCAAGTGTAAAATATTTCCTAATGTCCAGTCCAAAACCCTGAAGCCCTGTCTTTATGACCATTATCCTTTCTACTGTGCCTGCCAGTACTGAGGAGACTTTGGCTCTGCCTCCCTTGTGAGTGCCCTCCACACCATTGCAGGCTGCCATAGCCCACCCCTCCTCACCAGACCAAGCAATTCAGCTCCCCAGCCCATCCTAGCTCAGTGCTCAAGGCCACCAGCATCTTGGTCATTCACCTTTACAGTTACTTATTGTCCTTCTTCAAATAGAGGACCCAAAAGCAAACTGTCCACTGTCCCTTCTTTCTTATGTACATGTGAGACTGTTTATCCTGGTATTTTATGAGGATTTAGTTACTTTATATTTTACCAGAGTCAAGAGTTTCAAGTAGGAAACTGTAAATGCTTTCACATCCATGTCCCATGGCATCTACTTCCAACTGGAAAGAGCTGCATTAACACTGGCAGTCCTAGCTGCCATTCAGGGCAGCAGAATTCAAGGGGCAGCAAAAATCAAGGCGTTGTGATTATATTTGATAGGAAGGGAAGGCAGCACCATTTTTCTACATGGAAAGTGAAAACTTTGCCTGCAAACACTACTGGTCTGTAAACATGTGTTTTATAAAACCTCTTTCTCAATCTGTTATCTGATGGAAATTAGTATATATTTTGAAAGATTAATATTCGTCCTTCATGTGAACTCTTTCTGAAGCAGCAGTGAGTTGCTTCGTAACAAAAGAAGCACTAGGTCCCCATTATCCCTATTTGTATTTCCCAAATACAGCAGAATTTCCCATCTCCTGGTCAACAGCACTACTCGTAATGCTTTCATGACTGCAAATGTGAGACTCACTGAATATATGCAGTAAATACGACTCTCCAAGGAATCAGTACAGTAAAATCTGAAATAAATTAGTCAAAACCCCCATAAACCATTTTAATACACACTTGCAATATCACAGTGATGGTACATTTAAATAAAGTAATATTGTCAGCAAATTATAATGAAAAGGAAAAGTTATAATCCAATAGTTTAGTATGGAGGTGATGAATTATGACTTTTATAATGTTCCATTGACATTACTTAAAATAAAACAGAATATTACAAGCTAATTATATGGAGGAAATTAGAAGAGTATTTCAGTAAAATACTAAATCCTTAATGAATCAAGCACTTTTTATATTACTTTGACAAGGTCCTTAGAATGTAAAAGATCTAAGGATTTTCTTACACTCCTAAATTGTAAACTGCAGGTTTTTTACTATGCAGTGAAACAGGGAAGGAAAAAATTCTAGTAATAGCTTTTTGAAAACTGAACTTGACAATGAACTGTTGGGAGAATGGGTTTAGTAACTCATTGTCATAGACTCAGTGGATGGTCTCATAGGCTTTCCAGTTCTCCGGTGACACTACCTGCATGTGGATGGTTTGGTTTACCGCTAGTGAGTGAAACCAGAGCATCATGGAATCACCGAATCACAGAATGGTTTGGGTTGGAAGGGACCTTAAAGAGGTTCTAGTTCCAACCCCCCTGCCATGGGCAGGGGCACTTTCCACTAGTCCACATTGCTCAAAGCCTCAAATAGTAGCCTTTTTCCTGGCAATTCTGGAATTTTTGCATATGGTTATGTCCCTGTGACTCACAAAATTCAGCACTGAGCGCTCCAGGCTCTGAGGTGGGAGGAAGCCTCCAAGGACTACTATGGCTGGGCAGCACAGGGTCTCCACAGCTCCCAGGGGCTCTGCCTGCTATGGGGGCTCTCTGAAGGGTGCCCTGACCCAGGTCCTCTCCCCCCTCTGCAGTCCTTGGTGGGGGCTGGCTGTTTTCACTGTTCTATAGTGCTTTTCTGACCTCCAGTCAGGCACAGTAAGTGGAGGAGGGAGATAAGTGAGGAGTCTGATGAAATTAGTATTTGTTGGCAATGGAAGGGAAGAGGCAGCCAGTGCGTGAAGGTGGTCCCTCACCACCCTCTGAAGATGTGACGATTAGCAGCTGGCAGTTAGAAGTGTCCTGTGCTCACATGATGCTGTCTAGCTCTGATTAATCCAAGTTTTCTCCTCGTTATTTTCAAAAGCATTTCTAGCTGAAATATTAGAGTAACATCAGCTCATTCAACAGCCGCAGCATAAAAGCACTAGCGGGATGGTGGCCAGACAAGGACAATCCTCAGTCTATAGGCTACTCTTTTGGTTTTTAAACACACAGATTTGTTTCATGTTTGTATTTTTAGGATTTTTTGTATTTGAAGTCTGTTTATAATTATTTAACATTTCAGTGTCAGTTATTAGGCACATTTGGTGGTTCCTCAGTCAATACTTCTACGTTCCTATCTATGCCAGATAGACTCACAGTGTCTTTTTCTTTTCTTTCCTTCACTTCGTTATCAGCGTCAGCTTGGAGTTTTCAACCAACCATGGCCGCTCTTGGGCCCTGCTCCACACCGAGTGTTTGCCTGAGATATGTGCTGGGCCTCACCTCCCCCACAGCACCATCTACGCCTCTGAAAATTACAGCGGGTGAGAGTGTTCTCTGCAAAGCTAACTGAGGTGCAAGATTAGAGAAGTGAATTATAGATGACAGAAGAAAGCAGCAAAGCACGCAACCCCCTGTCATCTTTCCTTTTTTTACTAGCTGAGGCCAGCAAGGAAGGAGTGTTCTGGTCTCCCTGGCTGCCCAATCATGAAATTTGAAATATATGGGGCTGCTTCTGTGGTATGATATTATTTTTCTGATGCTAAAGATAAGTTACAAAAAAACCTGTGGATATCATGCTGTTAATTAAAAGAAAAGTTACACCATGTCAAAGCCCCACAAGTTTCCTTCGTAGTCAGAGGAACCGCATCAGTCAAAGCCATATTGACATCCTCAGGCACCCTTACTTGGAATCCCAATGTTGGGTTACAGTGAAGGACATCTTCTGTACTTCTGTAGATGGAGATGGTTGTTACTGTCACTTTCTTACATCAACCCTTCTCTTTATTAAGTCTCTTCAATGCTGTTCTGATCATAAAATGAACTGTGACAACTTGTTGCATAGCAAAAATCCCATGACTCGGTATCCCTCCGTATCCCAGCTTCCACAGACAATTCCGAGCAGTGGGTATGAGCATGAAAAGAGAGTGCAGTTGAAGCACTGCTGTGATCTGCTGACCCCCATTTCTGTACCATTTACATAGGAACCATTACCTCTGTTGTGTGTAGCCCCTGTAGATGCTATGAGGATGATGGCCAAGACCACAGCAGGCCAAACCCTCTGTGCTCCTCTTCTCACACCCATGGGTTTCTACCAAACAGACCTCAGTCACACAGAAAGGTTTATTGCAGTATGCAATTTAGGATATATTCATTGTGATGGTGAAGATACTACAGTGAAGCAGGTTAAGATCTTTGATGACTTCATGCATTCATAGAGGGGAAAAAAATTCCCTGGTGTTGTAATGGAATAATTAACATTCATATAGTGTATTAAAATATCATGGGACATGATCCTTTTTTTCATTTAGATTGTCTAAAGCTGCAGTTAGTTCACTGCTTCATTTGACCAGATTTTAGAATAAAAGAAATCTCACAAAGCTCTCAGTATAAGTAAACACATCTGCAAAACATAGTGCTTAACAACTAACAGTGAAAAATGTTAGTATTTGTGTTATATGTATTTCAGGTGGAACCGAGTAACTATTCCCCTTCCCAATGCGGCGTTAACAAGTGACACCAGGATTCGATGGAGACAAACCGGATCAATCCTTGGAAATATGTGGGCAATCGATAATAGTTAGTATTCTTATTCATTATCATGATAAATCACAAGAGTAAATTTTTATATGCTGCTCCAAGTAAACGTATTTTCCAGAATCACAAATCAGAGGATTTTCAGTTGGCTAAGTTCCTTTTCTTCATATCTGCACTTGGTAACAAGTATATTTTGAAGCTAGATGGGAATTCTGTCATTTGAAAACACAATAGCCTAGTAAATCACCCTTTTTGGGGTTTTTTTTTTACTTTTAACTGAATGATTTTCAGGAAAGATGTTGGTGGCAAGGGCTTAATATAATCTTTCCTCTGACTGCTTAGTCCTAAGTACATAAATAAGTTCTACACTGCACTATTAAGGACATGTACCGGGCCAGCGTAAGCAACGGTTGCAGCAGCTAGGACATGATTTTCCTTCTGGACGTAGATGACCCTCAGAGAGCAATGCTGCTACCAAACGCTGACAGAAATTTTACATTGTTTACAGTATCTTCAGGAAGAAAGTACCGTCTGTTTCAGGGAACTTTAGGAAATTGCTTATCACCCACCTGTTCCTCAGATGGCTGTGAAGAATTAGGAGAAGCTTATATTGACTCACATAGTTATAAAACTTAATGCAGAGGATAACCAGGGCCAGTCTTGAAAGGAAATATTTTAAATCACAGAAAAAATATTCAGGAACACAGGATGAAATAGATACATCGTATGAAATACACAAATACGTATGATGGAAAGGGCAAAGTATGAGAAGGTGCAATTTTTTTAGCTTTCCTCATTAGCCTTAGATGTTTTGGGGCTACATAAACTACCTACAGATTTTTTTTGTTAGATTTATGAAGTATGTCATTTAAAGATTTACTGTGATGTACAATAGCTGCTTTGTAGTGATTCCTAGTAAGGCTTGATATGGAGCCTGGGAATGATAAATAGTTAAATTTTGCAAAATTCTTAAAATAGATGTAGGCCTGGTTTTGAAGAGAAAATCCTTGAAGCGGCCTAATAATGTAGTGCCACAAATGAAAGTTTTTCACAACAAGTGATGAAAATTATTCTCTTAATCCCATTAATGAGAAGTAGCATCATCATGACATTCTGGTAGAGTATTAATGCCTGTCTTTAGAGATGATGATATACATCATAAAGTAAAATGAAGGGAACATTTAGGTGCATACACACAAGATGTCTGTGAGCATTTGCAAAGTTGAGTTGCTACCTAACAAAATACAGACTGTGAGTGTGGGAGACGCTCATAGAAGTTCACAAAAACAAGAGCAAGATTAAATCAATCCAAGGATCCAGCTTCTTTACAACAGAACAAAACAGCAAGATGTTGAAAATTAATGGACAATTCTTTTATATCTGCCGTACCTTTGCTTGTAGAACCAAATACAGTTCCATAGAAGGATGCTACATGCTTCAGTGTGTACCATCACAAAAGCAATTCCACCAACCATCTGCCTAAAAACTGGCTGCTCTGAAATTTGAGGTGCAGAACCGTGACATGAGAATCAAGTCTTAAAGACGAACGTGTTTCTGAGGTTTTGTGTGCCTCCTTTGTTAGATACTTGTGGAATTGAAGCTTTGCACTTCAGTATTGTAGGGGAAGACTAATAAACATTGGCAAGCCAAGCAAATTCTTGAAGAGAGGAAGATTTTCAAGGATTTGTCACTCTGACTTTTAGCTTCACAACTGTTTCTTATGTGAGTTAAGTTTTAAATGAAATCTGGAAGCTGGCCATCTTTCAGAAACGCTGGAAACCTGCCAGATTTCATAAAGCATTTTTGATTTTGAATGACATCATTACATCTTTAACCCTTCTACTTTTACCACCCCCTCAAAAAGACCTCGAAAGAGACAAACAAATCAAACAGAACAGAATTTTTGCACCCTGAAAAGTGAGAAAATCTAAAAATCACATGAAGTCTGATCGGGCGTTAGTTACAGGGAGTAACTAACAGGGATTTAGAGTGTGTCTTCTAGGGAGTACTGACACACTACTATGATGGGCAGCATCATAAAACTAAGAGGGAGGAAGTATTGCATGTTATAGATCATTTCAATTTTGTGGCTATTTGAATGGCATTCCAAAAGTCACAATGCAAGTGGATAACTCCAAGTAATAGTCATTCTTCAACAAAATAGATGGCACTATTCATTGTTAAGACCTGTCTATTATATTGCATTGAAAGAACATTGCCCAGAAGTTACGACTTTATCCTACACCCAGATTAATGCACTTGGTCTATACCCAGATTAATGCTTTTCTTTATAGTAGTGCAATCAGATGCAAATTATACTGAGATTTCCTTATCTTTCTATCCTTCATATTTTTCACCAAATACCCACGCTGTTGATTAGGAGTCATTGGAGGAAGTAAAAGAGTAAAACAAGTCTGGAATATTTTTGAGTGCATATGGTTTGAAGTTTTATTTCATTCGAAAGAATTAGTGAAAGCATATGATATTTAATATTTACTTAAGTTATATCAGGACAGATTCTCATTCCAATAAGTCCAGTGATGTTAAGTATGTGAATTTCCGTGCGAGAAGCAGCAGCATATTTTAAAAACCTACAAGACTCCTATTGGAATTTACTAATAGATATATTGGATTTTGTCTCTGAAATAAGATGCAGAAAAGGGAGGGCAAGAAAATGTCCAGTGCTTAGCAAATCATCTGATCTCATTCACAGTCTTAGAAAAATCAGGTACATTCTTAATTAAAACATCACTAGCGTCTCAAGCCACAGATAGACATTACCCATTAAATAATAAATTATCCCTGGCTATCCTTGACACAGAACAAAATTCTATTACTCAGCTCTACAGAAGGATGCAATCAAATGCATTATATCCTTTTGTACTCCTCTTTCAGCTAGTGCTATTAAGATAAATACAATAACTGTATGATTAGGTCGGTATTCTTTCTTGTCTTTGTTATATTCCGTTTATCACGTAAGATAACCCTTCATCTAACAGATTTATTTTCTCTGCAGTTTATATTGGTCCATCTTGCCTCAAATTCTGCTCAGGGCGAGGACAGTGTACTAGAAATGGCTGCAAGTAAGAGTTATAATTCATTACTTGTATTAAATTTCTGTCACATAGTTCACTTGATCTGAAACTTGAAGTGATTATCATTTCAGCCCTTGCTTTCTGAGATGACTAAATATAAAACTAGCATAGCCCCCAGAGTGCATGAAGCTCACTGGAGCGCTAAAGATCACTCTTTCTAAACAGCAGCATATTTAATTTTTCTTCCTATAATTTTCTTTTGGGAGAGACTCTAACTTCCAGTTCACCTTAAAATGTGCTACAGAGCACACTGGAATGGCAGTAATGCATGCTTTATACTGGTTTTAGAGGTGATTTGGTACTGTATCAGTTTTATATTAAATTTTGGGAAAGAATCACAATTCTCATAGTTCTAATATCCCGTAGCCTAACAGACCTCAAGGACAGATCAGCATTCCTCTTTTTTTTCTAAAGGTCTAGCTTGTTTAAGGTGTCCCAGCCTAAAAAGTGAAGGTGCTTACTCAAAACCAGTAAGCACAGTCAAAGTATCGGCGTAACTATTTTTAGCGAGACCCACGGGGCATTCTGTGCTGTTATTCAGTCTCTTGTAATCACATCTGAAATGCTACAGATGAAAGCAAATTAATCATTTTACATATGAACAACTGTAAATTATGGCGGCAGTGATTTTATTCCAAAAATAAATAAAAGGATTTGTGTTGCATGTGATATGTGGAATGGGGGCTGTTCATAACTATGATTTTTCTAATTGGAGAAGTAAGCACTAGCTAAAAGAAAGGTGTTGGCGATGCAATTCCTATATAAAGTTTAAAGAAGTTCTTAGTCCTTAGATTTGAGGACCAAGATTTGAGGACTTTATAGGCACCTTCAGTTCATGAACGCCTGCAGCCACCTTGTTGGTTTGCTGACCAACTGCAGGAGAAGATGGGTTGCTATTATGCTGTTCAATCTCCTTCACCCGCAGGTGCGACCCCGGCTTCTCGGGGCCGGCGTGCGAGATGGCGTCACAGACCTTCCCCGTGTTCATCTCGGAGAGCTTCGCCAGCTCCCGCCTCTCCTCCTACCACAACTTTTACTCCATCCGAGGGGCTGAGCTCAGCTTCGGTTGCGGGGTCCTGGCCAGCGGCAAGGCCCTGGTCTTCAACAAGGATGGGAGGCGCCAGCTTATCACCTCCTTCCTCGACAGCTCTAAAGAGCAGAAATGTGAGCCAAAGAAATTGGGGAACCCCTCCCCTTCGAGTTACAATCTTGTGTATTAATAAGCCAATTGTTTTAGCAGGAGGAAAAGTTTTCTTAAAAACTCCTAGTTCCCTATTTTGATGGTGATTTCATAGCCTTGCTGTTTTTCCTCCTGCTTCATAAACAACAAAGTCCGAAACAGACTGGAGGGAAGTTATTGTACAGCTCAGATGGAAAATATGAAATGTTAATATCAAACCTGAGTGTCAAAGCCAAGTGCTAATTAATTATTTATAAGGTTGTGTTTATTTGACAGCTTGTGGCAGCTGATTAGATCCATTCACTATCTCTCCCTCCCCTTCAGTGCCTAATAAATAATTAAATGCTGTAATGATTGGCATTTTTTAACGATATGTGCCACATTGCATTACTTGACAATACAAACAAATCGCACATACAAAACCCCATAACTGATATTTATCAAAAATTAGTTAACTGATATTTATCCAAAAAAAATTGTTAAGGAAAAAAGTAAACACCCACTATGCAAATGGTGCCCTGTAAAGATTTGTTCAATCCTGATCCAGGTTCCTGCAGTTCACACTACGCCTGGGCAGCAAGTCTGTGCTGAGCACCTGCAAAGCACCTGACCAGCCTGGGGAAGGAGTCCTGCTGCACTACTCCTATGACAATGGCATTACCTGGAAACTACTGGAACACTATTCTTATCTCAACTACCACGAGCCAAGGTACACGCATAAATGTTACGAGGAGTGTTTTCTACATGCCGTTAATGCTGGTAGTGGTAGTCGTGGCAGTGCTGAGAGCAAGTACAGCTGCCCACATGGTGTAGGAGTGAGTCGAGTGAAGATCTTTTACTCCACACTGAAAATTACCACTTTTCCTTAAAATTCTGTAGCTGTTCTGGGCACTTCCCATTTTTGCCTGCTTCTGTAAAAACGAACACGTGGATTTAATGGCACCTGCGTCTCAGGTGATGTGACAGAACAATCTGAGGCAGTGCAGGATGAGGGGAAAGAAATGGACTTGTGGGAAATAGGGGCATGTCTCTTCCCATGGAAGTGGCCATTTGTAAAGAAAACTTAACATAAATTATTTGTAGCTTTGAAGCCATAGATATCTTCCCTACACCATCCTGTGGGATTAGGAGTTTGCAGGCAGCACAGGACAGCTGTGATGAGATCCGACCGTTAGGTTCTCTCCAGATCAGCAGGGAAATTGCGCCTGCTCCTGTGATGAAGGGGATTACACGAATTTGTGCCTATGCCTGTGGGCTGGACTGGGAGCCGTGGGAGGACGTGCTGGTGACTGTGCCTGGGAATAGCGCGAATCATGGAGAAACCACACAAAGAGCTCATCTCCTGTGCAGCACCTGTGTTTGGTGTCAGATTAGAGAGGAATGTATCTGATGCATTTAGAGATGAAGGTATTACTTACATTTCTGAAAGCATCCGCAGATGTTAATAAAGCAATGCAAAATCTGGACTGTCCATGAGAACATCTGTACCTCAATCCCAGAACAAGCCGGGCTGGCTCTGTGCAAACCCACTCAAACCTGGAAACATCCACCTTCATGGGGTGCTGCAGCAGATCCAATAAAGCCCGATGAAGGGAGATGCTCTGCAAGGGGACACACAAGAGGCAGGGCTGTCGGTGACATTGTGGGTCCTGCCCTAGATGGTCCATTCCTGCCCAAGGGTGGCTTTGCCCTGAATCCTTTTCTCTATCCCCCCGTCCAATTCCAGGATAAATCCGGAGTCAACCTGTGGGTGGGACTGCAGTTACATCTGCAAGTCACTTTAGGTACATACAAATTTCATTATCTATATTTATTGATCTCAGATCAGCACATTAAAAAAAAAAATTCTATTTCCTCATCTTGCTAATTACTCCGTACAAAATTACAATATACAGAAGGATTAAGAATATTCTAATGGAAATAAACTTGTAAGATTAAATATATTTCCTGGGAGCTATAAGAAATACTCAAAAGTCTGAAAGGAATAGATGTATTTGGTAGAATTATACTGCATGTGGGCTTTAATGTCTAAAGTTTTAAATGTTTCCTAAGGAAAGATCCTACAAACTGGAACATTTATAAGCCTTCTTCAAAATTTCCTTTCCTGTCCTTTATTACGGTCACATATATATTTTATATGGCCCTCTTTCTAAGTCTTAGATTCAAGATTACAGATGTAGAATTATATTTCCCTAAAGGTTTTTAATATATAGCACTATGAAATTTTTATAACAAAAAGGAAAATACACATTCCAGTGACTGATTTTAATGAAGTTTAAGATATAAATGTAGTAAATTATATTGAGGCCAGAGACTTTTTTTGCTTTTTGAGATTAAGAATGAAACACAAATTCTGTTCTTCTGACAGGGCAAAGAGCTAAGAACAACATGCACAGGTTGGAAAGGTTTTACCATGTATAGTCCACTCTGGGTAGATAGAACAGTGACAGACATACAAACCTGAGGATAATTCTAGCAATAATTATGATGAAGAACATGAAGAAAGCCTCACCTTTTCATATTATGTTGTCTGAAAATATCAGCATTTTTGGTAACATAGATGGACTGCTGCAAAGTTTGGCAATCAATCTGTATCCAGAAACCTAATTAATCTTCAGTCATACAAAAAATAATTACACATTTAATGTTCTGCTGAAAAGGTGCATTTAATCTGCTAACATTTGACAGCTGCATTTTTCTTCTGAGCAGAACAGCGGTGGCTTTTCAATATTAGGTATGCGCATAGCTTGAAAGAATGAGATCAGAGCAAAGGTCTCCCAGCTGGTTTTTAAGAAATCTAATGGTAGCTGGTAATGTTAGTAGGAACACTTTTCTTCTCTGCAGCAGAAAAGTCATTAGCAAGAATCCCCCTCCCTCTCCATCTATCTCCAGCAAATCAAAGCCAGACGGAGAAGCTGTTATAACAGGAGATGTAGTCAGGTTCTGCATACTAACGTATATGCCAGATATGGAGGTTTAGGTCAACGTTTTTAAATTGTGTTTGCTTAATCCCCTGGGATGGGAAATTTATTTTAACATGTGTTAAATATTTTAATATCCGATAGGTGTATCAGTGGTGTATGTCATGATACAGGATTTTTTGTAAATTACTGTCAGTGAGTATTAGTGTCCACATGGGCAAGCTTACGGAAGTTAAGAGTAAAAGGGAAGATACAGGCATCAGAGACAGCCACCAGCAGAGAAATATGCCCAGGATTATAACAGAGCATTAGCTCACACAAGCTCCAAGTGCTTCACGGCATATGCTGGATGCAGCGCTCCTCCCAGCCAGGGTACTGGCTTTCCTCAGGTTCGCCCCACTGGCCCATGAAAGACAAAACCATTGGTTCCTTGTAGCATCAGTAGCGATTTAGTGTCCTTTGTGCCTTTTCAAACTGACCCCAAAAGTCATAGAGTTGCTGCTTATTAGGGAACCTTTGGAAGAAAGAAAGTCCTTGTAGTTTATTCACGTGCCAGAGAAGTAGTGGGGCTTGGTCTTTCTCTTAGAAGGGTTTGGAGTCACAAGCACGTTTATTTGGGCAGCAAATAAAATGTATTCACCGTACATAAAGTGTCCGCACTGCTGGTCCCTCGCTACGGGAACGCGGCAGCTGTCACCTCTGGCTGTCCCTTGACGCCGCTTTCTCCAACCTATGACTGGCAGAAAGTGGCTCCTAGAAATGCCATCCAGGAGTTTTTGAGTGCTTCCCACCTGTTTAGCCAAGCTGTTTGAGTTTTTATTGCTAATGGATTAATGTATTCCTCTTTAAAATCAATGTGACATTGAACAGCACTATTACAAATTTATTCTTTACAAGGACAGTGTGGCAAGTTGTTATTAAGAGTGTGGTTCTTGCACTAAGAGCGATGAAGGCACAATTTCACAGCACAGAACAAAATGTTACAGGAACAGGCAGGTTAGAAAGCCTTAAATCTGGAAAAAAACTTGGTGCTAAATTGTAAAATTGTCTCCAGTTTACCTGATTTGTCATTTTATCCACATTTCCTCTAAGAGAGAAAGAAAAATATCAGCTACATGATGAGCTTGCTGTAAGCCTTTTGCCAGCAAGTAATAGTACACTGATGGAGACAAATGTCCCCGTTGCCAGTCTGTTTCACAGCTCACGTGCGTTGTGTGGAGCACCACGGTCCTGGTGATTTATGGAGCTTTCAAGAAGGTGTCGTTGCTGTGGCAATTAATGTGTGCTCCCTGCTGCTGTGTACAATAATTGCTCCTGGAAATTAGATATTACTCTTAATTTTCTTTGCAGTTTGTCAATTACAGGTTTGTTGGCGTAGCTGCCATGACACATCAGGTGACCTTGCATACCAGGAGAAGAGCCTGGGACTCATCTCCAGTTGCATGTCTGTGCAACTACAGCAGAATGTGTGCCGTAAGAGACTACACATAATTACACTGACAAGACGAACCTTTTCCACTTGAATGCAGCGATTTACAGGGATGGGTTCTTCTAGGACAAGAGCAACACGGGCATGACAACAGTGCTGTGCAGAAAGAAGCACAGATGTTATGAAGATGCATCTCTTTCGGTCAGGATAAAATCCACTGAGTCTGAGAAAGTGGAGCTGGAATTTGTAAATATTTGATCCTCCTTTCAGCAGTCTACGCCCCTGACCTACAGCTGGGTTTCAGATGAAGAGCATTCAGGTTTCTTCTGTCAACCAAGAGCAGCTGTAAAATCTAGAGAGCTCCACAGTAGCAGCAAAATTTTAAAAATTGGTGGCTTTTGCACATGGCTATCTTTCAATAAATACATTCACTACCAAGAGAAGTAATTATTCCCCTGTGCCTGTCACTGGTAGAAGCTATACCAGTAGATGCTTGTGGTCTGAATATAACCCATGATTTTTAGGACCAATAATTAAAAATAACTGTAAAATACATCCCCATCAAATTATTACAAGCAGCGAAACTTTTGATAATAATTTTGTTTTGTTTTCCAGAATAATTTCAGTGGAGCTGCCTGAAGATGCAAGACAGGTTGGCATTCAGTTCAGATGGTGGCAACCATATCACTCTTCTCAAGGCGAAGATGTGTGGGCAATCGATGAAATCATCATGACCTCTGTGCTTTTCAATAGCATCAGCCTGGACTTCACCAACCTGGTTGAAGTCACGCAGTCGCTGGGATTCTACCTGGGAAATGTTCAGCCCTACTGTGGTCATGACTGGACTCTTTGGTAAGAAACATGTATTCGTTTCTGTTCCACTTTTGTTATCTTTGTCTATTCATTCTCCTAAGAACCAAGCAATCTCCCTAAATGAGTCTTTCTGGCAGCTATTCAGAGTAATTGTGTCTCATCCTCACATTATGGACAAAAATACACTCACTGATCTACTTGCAATTAGCAGTGTGTGTTTACAGCCCATTAAACAGAGATATATGTTTGATGGGAACCTTGAATGTAGCATTCTTTCACCACAAAATATTTAAAGAATATCCTAATAGAAAAAATTAGAAAATCTTCATAATCTTCACTGAAAATCCAGTCAGGTTAATATGGGTATACAGGTTATGAAATTATTTGAAATATGAAATGATCTGTTAAGGGCAGACTGAATATTTCCTAAGTGATGTTCAGGTCTGTTTACATAGCCGTTAGGTTACACCCCAAAAAGGAAAGGCGGCAGAATATTGGTAGAATGACGTTAGCCGTTTGTAGGTGTTTTTGTCTGGTATTATATTCATTTACTCATTTACACTGTGATCAGCATTATGACAATGTGACATATTGCTATTATGCCTAAAATGTGCTGTGCATTTAGAAACAAAAGCAAGGAAATATCACCTGCCCCAAAGCAAAAAAAAAAAAAAAAAAAAAGTCAAGAAAAGAAAAAGAAGTGAAAACAAAGAAAAAGAAAATTCTGATAAGATTGTGTAAAAATAAGCTTTTTAGTAAAACATTAATCTGCTTCACAAAAATTAAATTCTGGAGTTCATAAGTGTAACGTTTGGAATTAATACAAGAGAAACTCAATTATTTTCTCTATGTTTTGATTAAAACTAAATAACAGTTTCATGCTGCTCTGATCAACATATAAACCCAGTATGGCTTTAACTGGCATAGATGTATTTATTTGGAGAAAGTACAATCACAGTAATTATAGAAAACCTCAAGAAAATATAAATAATTTTAGTGTCCCCATGGGCACTCAGAGAAACACTGTTGGAATTTTATTAACACGTATCTCTGAGCAATCTGATTTGACTTTCTGATCATCTGTCAAACTAAAAGGAGTTGGCTTAGCAGTAGGAACAACACTGAATGTGTTCTAGCAGTGATAATGAGGCAGTAGAAGCACCATTAACCACTTTAATAAGGACAAGGAAGGTACTCACTGCTCATTAAAATGAAACAACATGTGAGGGCTCAAACTGTTTGCATCTTCTTCATCAAAGAGTTGGAATGAAAGCTCTTTAATGACATTGTTTTCTCTCTGTTCTTGTAAGACCAGTTTATCAGGGGGAGGGGGTTAGATTATTTAAGATAGCAGAGGTTCCTCTCTTTTCCTCCTATGACTCTAAATCAAAATCAGAATAATAAAGGCTAAACTAAATTCTCCATCCCATGTATTGGCTAGGATCTCAAGTGCTCGGTGGTAGTAGAAATATTGAACTTTCCATGCATCAAATAATGAATCAAAGCCTTTGCAATATTTCCTTACTATTTATGTGCAAGTATTTTTCATTATCACTGGAAGACATGAACTCTATCCTTCACTGACCTTGTTTCTCTCAAGGGAAATTTTTAAACTTGCACAAAGTCTGTACAAATAGCTGCTAGTTAAATTAATTATTCTTGGCTTTTCCCAGCTGTGAGTCCATTTGGTTCTCATTTTCTAACTCATGACTTGCTATGAGCAGAGTTTGCTGTAGCACTGACACCATCCTCTTGAGAAAAGTCTGACAACTGCTTTTTCATTAGCAGAACTATGGTAAATATGCTATAAATCATTTTACGTGGTGTCATCCCCAGGCCCATTATCACTGGATTGCCTTTACTTGTCTATTAGGCCTCCATTTCTGCCTCAGAATCTGTAAGTCCAAAATATTTATCCTTAAAATCGGGGGAAAATGAGGAAGGGTATTGGGTTTTTTCAATCTCTAGCTTCTTCAAGAAAAGAGGGGTTTGTTGATATATAAAATTTTTAGCAAAGGTGATTTTTTTTCTTTACAATGGTTTATATCTGGAATAGTCAAGTTATTTGATTGTAATCATCAACACTTGGTTTCAAGTTGGTTCTTAGACTTTATTACAGCAAGGGTATTGAGTATACTGAAAGGACTCCAGAACACTTCTAAAATGAAATGTTTAATGATGTACACTGATTTATCACTTCTCCAGAATGCTCATACACGGGCAAGGTTTTGACGTCTGGAGTGTTACGGAATATTTACAGCCACTTGCTGAAATACGTTTTAAGTATCGATAAGAACACTAACTCGCTCTTTCTTTCTCTCTCTCTCTCTTTCTTTCTGTCTAAATAAATAAATAAATAGTTTTTAAAAATAGCGTTATACAAATAGGCTGTATTCTGTCAGATTACAGCATTATGATTTAACTCTATGTAATGGACAATAGAGTGTCCCGCTGTCCCTGGAGAAGCCTGTGGGAAGACTGTAAATCTGCCTCATAATGAACTATCCTTATGGAGCAATGTAATGTCCTTGCCCTACATTAGCTTGATAGTTTACCTGTGCTTTTAACTTTTTTTGTCTTTTGGATTAATTATTGCTCCGTAACATGCAGAAAGTTTCAGGTAATTGACTTAATTAAAATATATTAATACATTTAGTGGTTATTTAATGAAGTAGGTATGATGTGATGTAAGAAGACATAAACATCTACCGCCTTTGATGGAAGCAGAGCTGGGGCTGGCATGAGCATTTGGCCATCATGTCAATATTCTCGATCAATGCAGCTTTACAAAATCAGTGTGGCTTTTCAGTATTCCTGAAAGTACTGGCCTTGAAAATGTGGTAACTCTGGGGATCGCAGAACAGTTTGGAGCAGTGCAGATTGGCTGACATTGGCTGTGATATCATTCCCAGAAGTACCAATTAGTTGGCAGTGCTTGGAGGGAGAGCGATTGTTCTGGGGGCACCTATGGGTATTGTGTTCCTGCACCTCTGCAGGTCTAATTACATATGTGCTAGAAAGCAACGCACAGCTACATGTTTATACAGAAATGTAGCCTCTGCGTTCTCATTTCTGAGGATTTTTAGTTAATTATTGTTATGCCAGGGACATCTTTCAAAATCCAGGAATGTATTTCAGCTGCAATGACTCCCAGAACAAAGAAAACATTTGGTATTCCATCAGAAAATCATACCCCTAACCACCTACATGGGAGAGCTGGAGAGCGAGAAAGTGGCAAGTAAGGTGGAGCCCCCGCCTTTAATGCTACCCTTGTTCAGCTGGAGGCAATTTGTGGATGATAAAGCACTTCGTGAACCATAATGTGATTTCCTCCCCTTAAAAGAGCTTCTTATGGAGCATCACAGATTGTCTTTATCTCATTATGAGCTACCTTTTGCACATTTCTTTAATATCAATTTTAAAGAGCTGTTTTGACTTTAAGAGAATGCTTACTTAATGTACTGTATACAGTATCCAGTGGCTAAGTTATTACATGGTAATGAATACTGAAAAGTGCTGTAATCATGACCTGAATGCCACCAGTAGAAAGGATTAGTTAAAGATTTTTTTTTTTCTTCTAGTTTTACACCAGTAATATGGAATAGAGGGAATTTTTGTCGAGACAGACGCAAAATCGAACATTTAATTCTTCATACCTACCCCGAGCGCCAGTCCACTTTTCTTCTGTCACTTTAGGGAAGACAGCTTCTAAGCAGATGCTTCATCAAGCTGTTTAGTTTCAACTCCCTCATTCTGTTCAGATGAGCTTTAGGTAACTGCGATGTGTTGTGCCCAGGTTTATGTCTACAATGCCAAATCATTTTCCAAATCATTGCTACATATAACTTTCAGCTGATTACAGTGCACATGGCTGACTGATACCTGAAGAGCCTGGTTGTACTGGCACAGATTTCCCAAAAGGGGTTCAATTTCCCACATCAGCCCTAAAATTTCAAGCTGCATTGCAGAAATTAAAACCATGTCAGGCCAAGTCATCTTTAAATCTGCAGTATTTGTAGTTTTCAAAAATGCAAGATAAATTTTGGAAGAAAAATGAATTCAGGCATTATCCAAACAAATTCTTCTGAGGTGCATTCCATTCTAACAATGAAGCCACAGTCCAGGTTGCCAGCTGGACTGCTGATGAGTGTACATTATATCCTCTGCTCAGCTTAAAATTGTCCATCCCATTGAGAAGAAAAACACAGACAACACTGAAAGAGCAAACAGTTGAGATACAGTTTTCCAAGACAACTTCACCGCTTTCTGCTCCAGTTGTCCATGACAGTGCCCCAGCAATGAAAGGAATGTCCATTCACAGTCAGTTCACAGTGCTGATTGACGTAGACTGAGTAGTTTCATATAGTGCCATGAGTTGGATCATCCTTTAGGAAATGAAGCCTCGCAGACAAAGGTCAGAGGGTGAAGAGGAGCCTGGATCCTAACTTGTGCCAAGTAGCAACAATTTGATAGTGTCAAAACTAATGTCAGCTTTCAGTAGTTTCTTCTAAAGCTTTAAGGTAGGATGCTGACATTTATGGCTTAACTGCTCTCGCTGGAAAGGACACTGTAGAAAACAGTGCAGGTCAGTGAATTAATTTGGAAGAGTGCTAAGTAGTGGTGACTCGTATTCCTAGTCCTTACACTGACTTCATCATGACCTTAGAATCATAGAATCATAGAATCATAGAATGGTTTGGGTTGGAAGGGACCTTAAAGATCATCTAGTTCCAACCCCCCTGCCATGGGCAGGGACACCTTGCACTAGACCAGGTTGCTCAAAGCCACATCCAGCCTGGCCTTGAAGACATCCAGGGATGGGGCATCCACAGCTTCTCTGGGCAGCCTGTTCCAGTGCCTCACCACCCTCTCTGGGAAGAATTTCTTCCTGACATCTAATCTAAACCTCCCTGATTTCAATTTATACCCATTACCCCTTGTCCTATCACTACAGGCTCTTGTAAAAAGTCCTCTCCCAGTACCCTTGTAGGCCCCCTTCAGGTACTGGAAAGCTGCAATGAGGTCTCCTCGGAGCCTCCTCTTCTCCAGGCTGAACAAGCCCAGTTCTTGCAGCCTTTCGTCATAGCAGAGGTGCTCCAGCCCTCTGATCATCTTCGTGGCCCTCCTCTGGACTCGCTCCAAGTGGTCAATATCCTTCTGATATTGAGGGCTCCACAGCTGGACGCAGCACTCCAGGTGGGGTCTCCCCAGAGCAGAGTAGAGGGGCAGAATCCCCTCCCTCGACCTGCTGGCCACACTTCTCTGGATACAGCCCAGGATACGGTTGGCTTTCTGGGCTGCCAGCGCACACTGCCGGCTCATGTGTTTTGACTTTCACAGGGGTAGAACTAGTATGTTTTATTGTGCACTATTGGAAGATTAGGTTTTCTCATAGAATAGAATCATTTAGGTTTGAAAAGATCTTTAAAAACACGTGTCTAGCTGTAATTTAAAAAAAAAAATAATTATATTTTTATTTCTTTATATTCACTATATTTTATTTATTATTTAAAATGATAAACTGTAACTTACTCGACCATAAGGACAGCCTTGTACTAGACTGTTGTCTTTATCACTACTCTACTCAATGTAGCTTTTTTATTTTTGCATGATGATTCACAGTGATTTTCTTTTAAGATATGCAATCCCTATCCTAAATTGTTCACATTTCAGAATAATCTTAGAAAATGTTGAAGCTGAAAGGCCTACAGTACTTCTGAAAACACTAACTACACATCTCAAACTAAGGAGACGGAGGCGATTTCCATCCTACGTGAACTTTCTTAAAAACATCCTCTTTTGAAGGATAGTGTGCAGGGTTCAAAGTTTAAGTTGTTATTACTTCCTCCTTATAACTCTCTTGCATTTAATTTTTTTTTCTTTTGAATAGTGCGTAGAAGAAAAACCTTCATTAAATTGAAATAACCTTGTAATTTCAAACTATATATTGTGTTACCATGTATGTGATACCTGGGTACCTTGTATCATATATGAGGCTTGGTGTGTTCGAAATATTACTACTGACAAAAGTATCTTCTCCAATCCACTGGATAATTAATAGAACTCTTAGATCAGTACATCCTGCAGAAAAGAAGCTGAGGATAGGCGATACAAATTCTGAAAGTCTGAGTCAGTGAATGAATTGCATGTAGAATCACTTGAAACATCAATGGAATGAAAAGTATATGTAATAAGCATATTTTTAACTAAATGCAGTGTATCTTTTCTGTCCAGTGTTGAATGAAATTAACAGCTGTTACTGTGACATGACCTTAGGCAATGGACACTCCTGAGGAATGAACTTTCTTTCTGTTGTTTTTTATTGTTTGTTCTTCTTTGCTTGATCCTAACTTCATCCTTAATACAGAGAGCATATAGTAAGAACTAACAGAATAATTCAGTGTTTCACATTCTGGGATACATCAAGGCCTTCCTGGTAATTTGCAGAAGTACCAACGGAAGGATGCTTCTGTTTGTGGTCTCATCCTATGTACCAGTCTACACAACAAAGAAAGAAGCATCACTGTATTTAACCCAGAACCATTCATGGTGTTCCCTTCCAAGTTATTGTGGAGATGGATCCTGATTCTTTCCTTACATTTCTCAGTTTTACAGGAGACTCGAAGTTAGCTTCTAGCATGCGCTATGTGGAGACCCAGTCTATGCAGATTGGAGCTTCATATATGATACAGTTCAACCTGGTGATGGGCTGCGGTCAAGCGTTTACTCCTCATATGGACAACCAGGTGAAACTGGACTACTCCACCAACCATGGCCTCACATGGCATCTTGTCCAGGAGGTGAGGCTGTGCAGTGAGGACCTTTATCTTCCATAAACTCTGCTTATACAATGATCACCTGAAAGATACTTGTGGCATTGAGCAAAGGAGGATATTTTCCTCTTTCTCCTTTCTCTAAAGAAATTGTCCGTTGGAATCTGTCAAAATGACTAATAGAAGTATTGAAGCTGTTCTTCATATTTGGAAGAAAGGTATCCGAGAGCCTAAAACACAAAATTGTGACAGGAGTGGACTAAGGCTAAGAAAAGAACTGGAGCACAGTTAGACAGAGCTGCAGAGATCTTTCCTGTGCTATTGCTTTGTTTTTCAAACAAAATGCATCTACTGTTTCCTGGAATTTAAATGGATAGGAATTCTTTCTGCCCTTCTGCACAGCCATTTCATAAATGGAAAGCACATTCCTTTGGGGGATTGTAATGTAGAGGCTTTCATCTCCCGTCCCTGGTTCAAATACAGTCCAGGGCCATAATGACTGGCTGTTTCCCGTCCCTGCTAGAAGTGCAAATAGCAGTGTTAGCTGCTGTGTCCCTGTGAGGCTCAGCCCGGTCTCAGCACAAACACAGCAGAGCATTTGGCCATAATTTGTGCTTTTGTTTTCCCTCTTAGATGGCAATCTGGACTTTCCCTGGCCTCAGGGTGAACTAACCAAGGTCCTTTGGCTGCCCCCGAGCAGGTTCAGAGGGTGTCAGGGAACTTGCCCCAGTGCCTTTTCACTGCCTGCTCTGTAGGTTCACAGAGGGATTTGGACGTCCAGTCCCACATCTTCTATGAACAGTGAAAGCATTGTCCTGTTACCTTTTGTCATGTTGTGTTTCGCCAGGTTTATTTTGGTGGGCAGAGCAGAGAAATGGCAATAACTGAATTTTTAAATTGTGCAAATCCTAGTAATGCTTTCTTACCCTAAACAGAATTCAGAAGAAAGCTCTGAATACTGTGTTTCAAACGATGTTCATGTCTTTTATACCCTAGCAGGCATCATCATGGTGTCCAAGAACAGTTCCTCGTGGTGGGTGTTTGGGGTTTATCCTTGCCATCAGTGGAAGATCAGTTGCCTTCAGATTTTAGTGCACCTTTTCTCCCTCAGTGGAGCTGAGTACAAAGAGAAGAACTTGCAGCCAAATTACACCGCTCATGTTGCTGTGATAAAAGAGTAATAGAAAAGGCTATTTGTAGTATATTTCAAGGATGCAATCTGGCAAATACACAAAACGCTAATTAATTAAAACGTTTGGAAGTTTTGTTTGCTTCACACACACTGATCAGATCCTGCTTTGTAAGGTCTTTTAAGGAAGATGAATTAATGGAAAATGTTTGAAAATTGCTGGAAAGGGAACTAAGCCTCTAGAAAATCTACAGGGGAAAAAAAAACCAAACCACAAACAAAAAAAAAAAAAGAAAAAAGAAAAAACAGAATAAGCTATCAGATCTTCATTTAATACTCTAAGATATTTGAGCAATAAATTTATCTGTAAAATAATATATTCTGCCCTTCTTATATTTAATATACAACTATTATTATATATTTTAACTATATAAATAGTCTTAATTGCTTTAACTGTTGTAGAAAATCGCTGCTTTATTCATAGTTTCATAGTAGTCAAAATATGCTACTTGCATAAGCAAGCATCTGCCCCTAAAGTTCCCCTCGAGCCTGACACCCCAGATGGGGATGAGCACAGCCGCGAACAGTGACAGGCTCTTGCAGATGTGGGGACGGGCAGGAGGAGCTGTGCTGTGGGAGTAGTGGCAGAAGGGACTCTCTGAATGGGTACCTAGAAAAGGAACACACAGGTTGGTAATAACATTCGAGTGCTTTCTTAATACCTCATCAAAACCACAGTACAGAAGTTTTGAGTGTTTGGGGAGCAAACCTCTCTAAGGAATCTGAGTTAAATACAGGCAGAATTAGAGAGTCGGGAAGGAGGAATTTACACCACTTGCTGTAGGTGGCAAAGGTAATACAGCTGCAGAGCATGGTAAGGGCCTCTGGAGGCAGCTTCAGCTGGGTGCTCTTGCGTGGCACTGGAGGTTCCTACTGCTGTTCCCCACTGCAGATGGAGGGAGCCAGCATCCCCAGGGGAGGACTCGCCAGTATCTCAGCAGTGACCGGTGTAATGGCCTGGAGGTCACCTTCGTAAACTTATTCCATGGTGGACTTGCAGATTTACTCTATAGTCAGCACTAGATGCTGGGGTGAGAATAGTAAAAACAAAGAGCTAGAACTCCTCATGGAGGCAAATGTAAAATTACTAGTCACTAATGCTAAATATACCTCTTTACATGAGTCTCATGGATTTCTCCTGTCCTAAATTGTACCAGTGTTAGTTTTCTGAGAAATGTTTTGCATCCTGCCAGGATTTTTCTGCCTCTGGGCTTTTTGCTGCCACATCTGGACTCGGGCAACCTCCTGGTTCCTTGAATGTTTAATCCTTGCTTCTGTTCCCAATTCTGCCTCAACATTAAATCTGGTTTTGAAATGTCTTACTTCAAGGAATGCCTTCCAAGCATGCCGAGCTGTCAGGAGTTTACCTCAGCAAGTATTTACCACTCCAGCGAATTTACTCAGTGGAGGAGAATCACTGTCCTTTTACCACAGAAGACTTGGTGAGCAATTCCTTCTTTTTTTTATTTTGTTGTTGTTGTTGAGTGCAGATAGTTTGTCTCCTTTTATATTGCTACGACGAAGATCAAGTCCTCTGTAGGTCATACTCGAGCCAGTGGATAGGGTGCCAGGGTACCAGGGCTGACTCAGTTGCAGGCATTTAACATAAAATGTCTTTCTTACATAATTAGAGAGTGAAATGTTGGTGAAGTCACCAGAAACTATTGTTTAGGTTTGTTTTTAATACATACTGTGGCTCACTATAAAGTTCAGACCTTTTCAAAATAGTGGTGCTTGTCTGTAAATGGCACACTGGAGGAAGACTTTATTTGGATTGTTCATTTTTATTTTGCACATTCCTTATTGTTTACATCTTCAGACCAAAGCCTTGTATAAACAATAACTAATGATTCATTTCTGGGAATTTTTTACCTCGTGTTTCTTTTTATAGCCTGTCCTCAAAAATAACATTTTCTTCTGCAAAGAACAGCAACAAAAATTACCAAAAGCCCTACGCTATTCATCTTACTGTAATCAAACTTCTTTTGAATGCCCTAACATTTTTATTTATTTAACTGGATAATTTCTTCCATTATTTATTTTTAACTTTTTTTTATAAAATACAAATGAAAGTTGACATAAATCTCAATAATCTTCAAGGCTTACTTCATTTCAGAATTATATTATTTCAATTAAGAGTTACATCTTGCTTATGTCTGACCTGAATGCATCACAGCAGTTGCAGTAAGAGCTTGCTCAGATTAAATTATCGTTGTATTTCCCTGTCCTTTACCATTTTTCTGTATTCTCCATGGCCTCAACACAACCTGTTTCTATCAACCACTCCATGATTATACCTTCTTTCAACATACTGTCCATTTTGCTGTACAGACTGTATTAAGAATTTAACATTTCCAGGAAAAACATCAGGGGCAAATATTGATTACTGAAAGCATATCAGGTCAGATAATACCAAATGGCACAAGTAAGTCTGTGCATAACTGCTTTGTAGTTAGATTATAATGTACTAAATCTTGCATGCTGTTATATGTCACCAGCTGTAAAATCTTTGGCTCACATAGGCACTTAGGAGTTTAAAAAGCATCTACAATTTTGCAGGATATACTCCAAAGTAGACTGTTATTTTTAAATTTATTTATGAGATCTATACTCAAAATTATTGTTATTATACACTGTATAGTTGATATAAATACCAGTGTTGTGGGCCTTCTTTTCTTTAGGATCTAAGAATTTTCCTCAGCATATGAGGTGACAGCAGCAAATAATTCCATTTTAATTTAAGACACTGTGGGGAGAAATTATGATGAAATAATAGGCAAGTTCCTGCTTTATGCTGCACACAAATCATAAATATTTCACACTCTATCTTCTATCTGAAGGGGTTCCCGTCTGTTAGCCAAGTTTTGTTTGTAATTAAGGTACAAATTACTACTGAACATTTCTTTGCTCTTCATAAAACACATTTTCAGTACGACTGTGTTGTGCTACAGCGTAGTCAGGGTGAAGAGGAAGGTTGGCTGCATGTTCCCCACCAAAACCAATGTGGCCCAACAGATGCTTCCCAGCCGCTTTCCCTCTTACCCTCCTTTCCACGGGCAAGGAGCAGACTGAGGGCTCAGTCACTTCTTTGAGCTGAAATTGGGTTGAGATTGCCCATGCAGAGGGCATTGCCCCAGGGGCCTGGTAGCCAATATGCTCCATAGGGCTTTTCTTTGGGGTGCTATCCCTCCCTTTCCTCTCCCTTCCCCTCACACTCTGCTGCAAAAAAACAGCCATGGGCAAAAAGTTAGTAATGGCCAGGAAAACCAGGGCAGAGGGCGAGAGGTAGGTCTTCTGCCTTCCCAAAAATGGGGTGAAAGGAAGGGGGCTCTGGGGACCTTCCTTCTGACTCAGTCCCACGAGACAAGGGCTGCCAAACATGCAGCCTGCCCTGTGCTTACTGCTCAGGGAAACAAACCACCTAAAAGAGGACTCAGAACTGGAACCCGAGGTCTCGTTAGCCTTGCTCTGGCCCTCGGTAACCTTGACATGCCCTCACAGCCCTACGCAACCCTGCTAGGATTGCCGGAGCTTTCATCCCTGCAGGCACAGCTCTTCACAGTGCATTTGCACCTTGGGTGCATGGGTAGCATCAGGCTGCATTACTGTGATCATGCAGCTAGAAAATTGTCCATAACAGCACCTATTTCTCTCGTAAAACTTCCTGGGCGTGCTGGTATATCTGCACATCTGCAGATGTTCTGCATTTAGCATGCACAAGTTTACAAGGTCCCTGTGTTATCCAAGACTTGGGATGCTAGGAAATCTGCTGCAACAGTGAGAGTTGTGTTGGAGAAATGAAATGTATGCACCTGCTTGCTGAAATTGTATTGTGCTTGAACTGAACATTTCTAACACTGATGAAAATTAATTTCAGTTTTATGGAGAGTCATTTACATATGAACAGGCCTTAATGAGATACAAGCATCTGTCAGTTGCTGACTTCATAAACAAATCAACACCTAATGACTGAACGAGAGTTTCAGGATAATTGGGTAAATGTAATTATGGTAACTCAGGAGGTAGCAAATATAATTTTATCAGCTACGAATTTGCATTAGATTGTTAGTTTTTTTAATATCAGGAGAAAAGACAATTATTTTATTTTAAATCACATATCTGAAAAATTTTATAGCAGAAAGAACATCATTTCACTCATAATACATCTGGGACTCACTGTGATTTCCTTCTCTCTATGTAGAATGTCACACAACGTCTTTTATTTGACATCAACCTGACTTAGATATAATGTCATCAGAAAGCCAGGTTGCCATCCAGTAGCATAAAAAAAACCCCAAAACAAAACCAAAAAACCCCACCAAAACTGTGAAGAAATACAAGGAACTGGGGAGATTTATTTTGCTTGTAATAAAAGGCTTTCGTAACTCCTTGATACTGCATTTCCCATTTCAATAGGTGTCCAAGTGGTGACTGTCCCGAAAACCAGTATTTTATCACTGAGAATGCAGCTGACACTCAGCTCCTTATTCTCCTTTGTTAATTAACATGGCTTTTTTAAATTGTTGATTACCATTTTTAACAGCATAATCCTCTTAAGCTGTTGTTACCTTGAGGTGCAGAGCAGCCTTGGAAAGCTTTCAGAAACAGCAAGCAAGACTGGCTTTTCAGTGTTGGCTTTGGGATTGCGAATTAAGCCTAACGCGGTTATCCCGAGTCCCGAGGGGACTTGGAGCCCATGAGAGCTTTTGGCACCCACAGTCGTGTGGCGGGGTCCCCGCTTTCCGTGCGCCCCCGTGAGCTCCCTGCCGGGTGGGAGGGCAAGGGGCTGCTGTAGCTCAGGGCCGCCAGGATTCCCGCTTCAAGGATTCCCTCTTCAAGGATTCCCACAGCGTTGACAGCTGTCCCCAGGGCAGAGATCTCTTTGCAACCAAAAATAACCCTGCTTGCTGGGATGTGACACCTCCGTTTTCACCTCGTGTTCATCTCCAGGCGGCAACGCGATGCCTCCCTTCCTCCCGTCCCCTTAAATGAGGGAAACAAATCTCCTGCGATCACTGCATGCGTCTGGGGGTGCTTCTAAGTAACCTGGAGCTGAGCTCACCCTTAGCTTGACGTGCAGCCAGCCTCTGAGACTCAAGGAGGAAGACAGAGCTGCCCCAGCAGCGTGTGGCCCCGTACTCTGTGCCTTGCAGGGCAGCAGTCCCCTGCGGCTGGGTGCTCCCTGCAGCAGGAGGGGGACGTTGAGATTGGCCAGGGCACTGTTTTGCTCAGGTGAGACCCACGTGAGCCCCAGCATGGGCTGTCAGACTTGATGTCAGCTCTGCACCCTGCAGCGTGGAGCCAGCCCTGGGGACACCCCCCAGCAGTGCTGCATGGGGGTCTTCTCAGTAGGGTTCAGGTGCAGTACTGCCCTGGGCAGGGGTGTTCCATGTTAGTGCCCGTGGGTGGGCTCTCCCCACTGTTTGTGTAGGGCAGATGGGAGCCTGGTACCTCAAAACCGGCCGTGATGCACCCACACAGCACCCTGCAGGGACATGTGCACCCAGCAGGAGCTGGCAAGTGGCTGGGGAAATGCCACTGACGCCACACCACTCAGCAGCGGGAACTGTGCTCCGGGGGCACCACCTTGTTGGGCACTAAGGATCTTCCACAGGATGTCATAGAATCACAGAATGGTTAGGGTTGGAAGGGACCTTAAAGATCATCTAGTTCCAACCCCCCTGCCATGGGCAGGGACACCTTCCACTAGACCAGGTTGCTCAAAGCCTCGTCCAGCCTGGCCTTGAAGACATCCAAGGATGGGGCCTCCACGACATCTCTGGGCAACCTGTTCCAGTGCCTCACCACCCTCTCTGTGAAGAATTTCTTCCTGACATCTAATCTAAACCTCCCTGTTTTCAATTTGTACCCATTACCCCTTGTCCTATCACTACAGGCCCTTGTAAAAAGTCCTCTCCCAGCACCCCTGTAGGCCCCCTTCAGATACTGGAAAGCTGCAATGAGGTCTCCTCGGAGCCTCCTCTTCTCCAGGCTGAACAAGCCCAATTCTTCAGCCTTTCATCATAGGAGAGGTGCTCCAGCCCTCTGATCATCTTCGTGGCCTCCTCTGGACTCGCTCCAAGTGGTCAATAGCCCCCAGTTGGCTGTAAACACCCCCAGGGCTGCAGGGTCGCACACCCAACTTTTGCCAACACTGGCGAAGCCCAGCTGCGATGGTCTCCCTCCTGTCACCTGGACGAACAACATGACACAATTTCTTTGTGCTGGGAGGTCGTGGGTTGGTTTTTTGCCTGCTATAAAACCTTTCTTTGGTGTCACTGTTGTTATTTTCCTCGGAGCACATGAGAGTTCTCATCAGTCATTACCGTCTTTCTGAAGCACACAGTCTCTGTCAGGGTTCTCTGCAGTGCCGTTGATGCTCTGTAGCAAACGTGAATGGAAGCACTGAGGTGATGTGCTGGCTTCAGAGCACTCAGAACATAAACAGTAAATAATTGTGGTGAATATTGACTGTCCGTTGTGCCTATGTAAGCTTAGGAAGTCCTTCGTGTGCAGATCACTGGCATTGTGCACTTTTAATGGATAATTCATAGCTCTTGTAATGTAACCCATCAATACATTATATCCTGAGGGACTATTTAATCGGCAGATCTACCCCTGCAGATCAGCTCTGCATGCTGTAAAACGCTTAGAGTATTTTCAGTATCAAGCAGATACTTAAAACAGACAACAAAGGTCATTTCAATTAAAAATCAAGCCCTTTTTTGGGGGGGTGGGGGAGGGGTTTGTCCTCAAATTAAAGTAACAGCATTGTATTCCATGCCATCATACCGTAGCCATATGGCTCAGATACAGGCTAGGAAATAAGCTCCTGCTTCCTGCAGCAACCTCTTGCTCGTCATCCTCAGCCCACCCAGTCAGCCCTTGGCCTGGCACAGGTCTGTTCCTGTTTAGCATCTGATTTTTAATTCCCTGCAGTCAGCCTTGCTTTCCCTGTCCATCCCCTCCACACGTCTGTGACCCAGCCTCAATGGCGACATTGGCCCCACTACCCCTTTATTGCCAGACCCCTCAGGCAGCTGGCACAGCCCCTTTTGCTCCAGCACAATGAATGATTTCCTGTCTTTTTTTCACTTCATGTGCAATATTTTTTTCTTAATCTCATTCTGGAACAAGCATGGAGTTGACAGTTCCTGCACTCACCACTTGGCAGCTGCCACTAGCCAATGCCTGGAACCTCTTGGATGTGCACAAGTTGGCAGGGCAGCTTGGAAAGGCTTGATGGCAACAAAAATTACTCTTCTCATGACTTGGTTGCTTCTCCAACCTTGTTTTTTGAAGGTGGTGGATGTCAGGCTGGGTTTGACTAGGAGGAGTCGCTCAGCATGGAAAATATTTATATCACGTCAGACAATCTCCTGAAGGGCCAGCAACAAACACTTTTTCAATAGATAATGTTACTTGACTCTACTGTAATAAAGAAAAATAAAGCTGTTGAAGAGAACCTATTTAACTAGAAAGGAGAAATGACAGGAAGGTTTTTTTGCTTGAAGAATATTACAGCTATCCAGAGCTTAGTTATATATAGGCAAGCAATCTATTCCAGTGATTCCCTACCACAAACCTTGGGTGTTAGGGTTTTTTGTCTGAGTACTTGGCCAAGAGCAAGCTATTTGCAGTGTGAAAAAAATGAGGTGCTATGAAACAGGATCTTTGTCAAAAACTGGTGATTGTAATGTCAGATTGTAATGCTATATATAAGCAAAATCTAATTTAGAATCATCCTGACAAAAAGAAAATTCTGTATCCAATAAAAAACAATCAACTATTGCTCAGTAGAAATAGCCAGTATTCAAAGAGAAGAAATACTTGCACTCAAGAACTTTAATTTCATTGGGGTTTTTTTCAGAATAAACATCAGAAGAAAGATTTTTACACAATTTATAGCCTGTTAACTGTGAGCAAAAATATAATATATAGATTCATCTTTCTTGTTTTGCATCTTGGCACCCTCACAGAATGACACGCAATGAAAATCTGATAATATTCATCGATAGGTTTACCTTAAAATAATGCACAAGGTCTATGCAACACCACTGCAGCCTTCCTCAGAAGTGTCACTAATGACTGCAAAGTCCATTATATAGCCCTGTGCAGCAAGTGGCATCATCTAGAAAGTTCATTTACGAAAATCTGCCCTTGATTGTGCCAGTCTTTGCAGGCTGGGCTGTGACTGTGATGTCAACTTACTTTATTTTTTATAGTTGCATTTTATCTTTTTTTCCTACAGGTCTGTAAAGAATTGCAAATCTAAAGCATTGTCATTGGTTTTTAGGTCCAGCGCCACACGTTTCCGCTGGAGTCAGTGCTACTACACAGCCCAGGACGAATGGGCTTTAGACAACATCTACATCGGGCAGCAGTGTCCTAACATGTGCAGCGGACATGGCTGGTGTGACCACGGTGTTTGCAGGTATAAAGCATTTGCCACTTCCTTTTAAAAATGGTCTCCTGATACTTCAGGTATATAATTACTTTTTTTTTCCCCCGTTGTTCTTATTTTTGGATCAAACATGAACAAAATAAAAGCTCTATAGGGGTTAGACTATTCAAGTGCCATTAACAGCTGGTTGCTACACACCTCTCTGTTTGAGAACCCATACCCTGAGCCGATCCAGGTGTTGGAAGAACATTCGGTGACACAGGGCTGCCCTGCTGCAGGTGAACTGGTGGCCCCTCCCGCCCCTTGCACAAGGACCCCAGGGACCAGCTCAGTGCCAGAGCTGTGTCACTGGGTCAGAAGGATGCTAGGGACCAGCTCCGCACTGCTTGGCAGCTGCTGTCAGATAGGTGCAACACCCAGGGCACAGCCTGCTGCCTGCCAGCTTCAAGCTTTCTGGACACCACAGGGGTGTTTTTTAGAAATAAGATATAGCTTTTTTCCATTATCCAGTTATTCTAGTTTCCAGGATCCAAAATTCCAATCCTAGAATGATTTGTTATTTCACATATAATTTTAGAAGGTCAGTGCACCGCCTTAAGTAATTGTCATTGTCAGTCTTTAAAAGCTTGTTACGTTTATGCTTCCTTCCAGATGTGACTCAGGGTTTCAAGGTACTGAATGCCAGCCTGAAAATCCCCTTCCTTCAACTATCATGTCTGATTTTGAGAACTCAGACAGCCTGAAGACAGAGTGGCAGGAAATTATTGGGGGAGAGATCGTCAAGCCTGAAGAAGGCTGTGGGGTCATCTCATCTGGCTCCTCGCTCTACTTCAACAAGGTACTAACGAGGGACAGGAGGCTGAGAAAGGCATGTGATGTGGGTTTGAATGGAACACGATGAGGCACATGGCAATGAAAAGGAAGGTGGCAGAAAGCAGCAGGCAGTGTGAGAAGTGCATTAAACAGCGCAGCAGTGCTCCGCAGGTAAAGAACAAAGCAATCAGAAGAGATAGGGAGGGACACATGCATTATGTATTCAAAAAATACCAGCTGTAATGGAAGGAAGTAAATCGCCCGTGTGCTGGGCAGCATGTACGTTCGTACTGTCTTAATTGTGCATTTTCTGGTTTGAGACTCGGTTCTTTCTCAACAGTCCCCAGCTCTCATTTGTTTGTTCTGTGCTGTTCTGGGTGAAGGATGGAAAAAGGTTGGCTTTCCAGGGGACAAGCAGCTTAATTTGGTCACAGGACCAAAACTAATGAACAAGCAACCCCTCCAGACTTTTAGAAAGTGATTAGCAGGATACTTCTTTGTATAACTTGGATGTTTTGCAGACAAAAATTATAGAGCAGGAAAGAGATATAGGGAATTCTGCTAATTAATAGCAATTATAACTAAAATAAAAAGAGATCTTTATGACCAGATGTAAGATTATGGGTTGTAATCACAGATTTATTTTTTATTGTTGCTCCTCAGGTCTAGTAATTGGTTTTGTTTTGTTCTTAATTGAAAGGAAGAGTATAAATGCAGCTATGTGCTTTTCTTTCAAAGGTTTGATCAAACTGCCACTGCTGTCATGAGAGCCAGATTAGTCCCAGAAGAATAACCCAATATGCAACACTATGTAATTGGCTGTTGTTTACCTCATTACAAAAATCTAACCCATCAAATAATTTTCAGCACTCCTACATAGTCTCACATCCAGCTCCCCTGGAAATGCTGCTCTGTGCTGAAAATTTCATAATAGACCAATCAGTATAACTAGCTAATTGTGATAATTGGATTTTTTAATATAATTGTCTTCTCTGTTAGATGTTTTTCCTTCTGGCTTAGTTCCTTATGCCAAGTTTCTCAAAGTAGTTTGCTAAATTAGAATTAACCTGCTATGATCTTTCTTCTGATTCCTGCTAAGGAGGAGTGAAAAACCCATTTTGAAATTCTTGGTTTCTTTCTATTGATCTGTAAGGGTTAAGTTATCATTCATTTCTTGAGTAGTAGCAGACTGCGTGCCATCAGCAGAAGGTGGTTTATTTAATTTCTGTTTAGATCTTTTTCAAGGCATCTAGTGGCCATGCTGGTAGAAAATAAGAATTATTTTTATACTTGCTCAACAGTTCTGTATTGTTTTGGGAGCTCATATTCACAGGCTCAATTTCTTTGCATTTGTTCAAATAGCCACTTTTAAATTGAATGTCTAATGTTTACTGCCATAATCAATTACTGCTACCAGAATTAATGTTAGCTTTGCTCTGCCGACCCTCTATCTTTTAGTTTACAACTCATTTTAATCAATTGTGGGTGTGTTTGCAATACAGAGCTCTTTCAAATAGCCCCTGCAAATCCTCTGGGGTTTTATGTCATTTGTGCCCTTTCCCAATTAACCTGCTTCTGTAGTTAACCCTTTGGCAGGCAGAGCTGCTGTGGAGTGTAGATATGGAAAACCTACCTGGCCTAGTTTTACAGCCAGGTAGTGATCAGTGACAGCGGGTCAGTACTTTGGGCATTCTCAGCCAGCCAGGACACGCCTGCCCACAGGAGAGCAAGGTGTTTGCATATTTATTATCCATTACTAGTTTGATTTGATGATAATAATTTCAAATTCCCGTGGGTTTCCAAAAGAATCTGTGAAAACAAACTCGTAAGAGATTATGAGTGTCACCTTGGCCACTATTAGGCATGTGGGGCTGCACCCACCACTGAGCCCTCATATGGCATCATCCAGGAGGCATTTACCCAGCTGGGGACAAACCAAAAAATAAACCAAAATAACAGGCATAATTCAGTATGATTGTATCCTAAGTGGGTTTTTTGAGAATCATTCTTAACAGGTTTTAGTTATCATGGGTGGTGTAAGCTAACTGAGATTGAAAAACCCAAGAATTCAACTTCCAGAGCTTACTCTAGCTGTGTGATGTGTCCTGTTTGGTCGAGCCCACAACTGAGCTACGGACCCGGGCTGTAACCCCAGCAAAGCAGAATGTTCTGAGAAGGAAAGCAAGAGACATTTACCTGTGCTGGGTAGGAAGAGGAAAGAAGTGATGAGTGGAACAGGATTCATCTATCATCCTATCAAAAAACACAGATGATCTTTGAAATCTCAGCTCATAAATCTTGGTACTTATGTCCGGCTAGATCATGCCACTTCCTTATCTCAAATTTGTCTGGAAATTTGTCAGGAGGATCATGGATGTAGAAAGGAGAGAAAGGGAAAAACAAAAATTTTACTTAAGGCACAAGCATCATTTTATAACTTAGCTCAGGTTTTCCTGTTGGATACCTCTCTGCTTGGAGATGGTCAGGAACCCATGATTTTTTAGGGATTTACAGATAGTAGGCGTGTTGCCAGTTCTGCTCCATTTTGTGGGGGTGGTGCCAGGTTACAGCTACTTTCAATGAATGCACATGTATGATCCCAGCATCCCCTCTCCAGCTGCATGTATTTGGCTTGTGGGAGCATGGTGCTGTGCCAGGTGTGGGGCACATGGGTCCCCTCTGTGGGGACACTGTCTCGTCCTGTGTCCTGCCTTGCCACAGGCAACTTCAATTTACATATCAGCATCTTGTAAGCTTGGTGATGTGCAAGCCCACCAGCTCAGTCTCAAGCAGCAGAGCACACAGAGAAGAGGGGAACAGGATAATTCCAATTACAATAAGAGGCTTGTAAACCTTAAAGCTTTTTTTAGCTGAATATGCTCTGTCTCCCTCTGCCAATATGCACAGAGCGGCCAGTGTCCAAGAACTGTTTCCTGCTGGCATTCAAAAACATCCTTGGAAAAGCTGTCCGCTGTATTTTATGAGGATGTTCCTTCTCTCAGCTGTGCTCAGGCAAACCTGAAACCAAATCCACGTGGTTTAGTTGAGAGACCCATGATTTACCATACTTACTAGGAAACTAATCTGGCTCAGGTGAGGCATGAAGAGAAAATGCCCCTCCCTTGTTCTTGTGTAGGAGATGGGCTTTGAACAACAGGTATTATAGGCGCTATAATTTCAGATGATTGGGCAACCCTAAACAGTGCAACATTTGACTGGGGAAATGAGATGTCAGAAATGCCTTTTTACCACTTTGTGCTTACCACTTTATGACCATCTAAAACATTACGTTTAGACAAAACGTGCCCCTCTGAGTAACCAAGAGTGATGGTCCTTGCTGAATATGGCTATGCATATTTATTTTTCTGCTGCTTCAAATGTGGTCCAGATCTTATTTTTCCAATTTCTTACTTTCCAACATACAAATCAAGAAATCCCCTGGAAAAGAAAGTTCTCTGTATCTGAATACTTAAAAACTTAGTCCCAGTTGATTCAGGATACCCAGCATTTTCTCATTGTCTCACAGAGGTACTTAGCACCTTGAAGGAATGAGCCTAAAGAGTTGTGTTGGAATCGGTTTGTGAAGTTGCATTGTGTGTTGAAATGTAATAATAAAACTGCTTGTGGGATCACACCAGAGTGATTGAGCCATAAAGGATGGCCAAGAACAGTCATTTCCCGGAAGATTAAAAAAAAAAAAGTCATGTTAACACAAAATTTGATGTCATCTGAATTGTGCAATTTTCTGTGCAATATTCGTCTGTGCTTGATTTTAAACATGCCTATTCATAGTGAAGGTGTCATACTTAACATTATTTTCTCCCCTCTGTTCTTTGTATTGTAGGCTGGAAAAAGACAGTTGGTAAGCTGGGATTTGGACACTACTTGGGTGGATTTTGTCCAGTTTTACATCCAGATAGGAGGAGACACTTCTTCATGCAATAAACCAGACAGCAGAGAAGAAGGTGTGCTGCTGCAGTACAGCAATAACGGTGGTATCAACTGGCAGCTACTGGCAGAAATGTATTTCTCTGACTTCAGCAAACCCAGGTATAATTTTGGTTAAATTAAATACATATTGCATCAGCTCCTTAAAAAGAACTATTTTTCAATTTATGAAAGCATGGGTAATAATTTCAAGTTACAATGCTTAAGAGCCATCATCATATGGAAGATTTTCCAGGCTGCCACAGTAAACTCCTGTCACTAGGAAGGAAAATCTAATGACAGGGGGCCTTAAAAAAATGCAGTAATACATAAAGTTTCCAATCACTCGCCTCCCATGTAAAACATGACTAAAATGCTAATGTGTGCAAAAGTCTAGCAATCACATAGAACTTGACCAAAGAGGTGTGGAAATCTGCCATTTCCTCTGACTCTGGTTTCAAATCTAATGAACATGTATTAATGTCACATACAACAAAAACTCCTTTAAAGAATTATTTAAGGAGGAGGAAAAAAATCATGTTCAGCATTTCAAACTTGCTGTAAGATAGGTTTTCATTGGAAATGTTAATTTCATTTGTCTGCATAGGTATTAACATGATTTCTATTACCTGCAGTTCATATCTATCAATATGTAAATAATTTTATCTTCCCATCTTGTCATTTTGCATTGCAATGAACAACGTTTTCAGAAGACGTTTTCTTTAACTCAGCAGACTGTCCTTTTTGAAAGGTGATCTAGGCACTTGGAAGCATAAAATGGTTGAACTTTTCAGCCTCTACTTTGACATTTTGTAATTTGTATGGGATGCATCCAACAAAGAAGCTGCATACTGAAACCTTCATCCCTGGACCATCCAATACATTGTTTTTAGTCAAAACATTTAGCCTCTGAGTAACCAGGAGTGATAGTCCTTACTGAATATAGCTATGGATTTTTATTTTTCTGCTGCTTCATATGTGGTCCAGATCTTATTTTCCAATTCCTTATTTTTCAACATATAAATCTAGAAATCCTTTGGAAAAGAAGGCTCCCTGTAGCCCTGAGCAATTCCTCTACGTCTCTCTGCCTTACCAGAAAGTGAAGCAGGGTCCATGGTACAAAACAACACGTGGTATAAAGAAAGAGTACAGAAAGGAATGTGTGTATAAATGCATATATGTAAGATGGCTGAAATACAACCGAACAAATAACTAGTTCTTGTACTTTTCAACATAAGAATGATTAGGATTGAAGCTTTAACTTTTTTTGTAACATCATTTTGTAAGGTGTTTCCTATGTTGAACATAAAGCAAACTGTCTGAGAAGACCTAAAGTTTTTTTATGAAGGGTTGAAATATTTTTATCCACAGCAGAAAAGTCTGCTACGTAATCTATGGCATTGTAAGAAGGTTGCTTATGTCTACAAATAGGATCAACCAAGCAGAAGAAAATGAGAAATTAATTTTGCCAGCGTATTTCACAATTACTTGCTGGCACTAGAACGCTAAGACTTGCTGAACATGGATCAGCTGAACAGTTTAATTCAAATCTGACGAGTTCAAATCAGTTCTTTATTGTGCTAGGCAATACAGCAATATTGAGGGTGAAAAATAGCCATTGTCTTAAAGAGTTTACATTCTCCATAGACAAGAAGGACAAAGAAGGCTTCTTGATATGCAGCGCATGAATAGGTATCCAGACACATACAAGATTTGTGCGGACTTCTACACGTAATATAGACACTGGCTTTCCTGCCTCTTTTCCCTGTTCAGTGGTATTTCTCCCATTTCTCTACAAACTGTGTTCCCTAAAGTTCTTCTGAACTTCTCTTCCTCAGGTTTGTCTATCTGGAGCTGCCAGCTGCAGCCAAGACACCCTGCACAAGGTTTCGCTGGTGGCAGCCCGTGTTTTCAGGGGAAGGGTATGATCAGTGGGCCATCGATGACATCATCATTTTGTCAGAGAAGCAGAAGCACATCATTCCTGTTGTTAATCCCACTTTACCCCAGGTAATGAGTAAGAGCAGGCTGTGGGCATCCCCATGAAACAGGAACCATCCTCTGTTAGCAGACTTTTCTTTGAAAGTAATGGGTCCGTTTAAAGAAACAGCTGTAGTGTTTGCAGCTGTGTCTCTCTGTATGGGAATAACCTGGGTCTTATCACAAAATCATCAGGCTCCTGGTCTTTGTGACAGAGGATGTAATTATGTATCTACTAAAAAACTCAAGAGAGAAATTTCAGGAATTAATTTTTTTTTTTAATTACAGAAAATACAAATTGCAAAATTTCAAAGTTCATAATTTTAGAAATTATTCTGAAGTTACACTGCAAAGTGATAGTGCTTGTTGTTCTTCTTCCCATTTCTAACAGAACTTCTATGAAAAGCCAGCATTTGATTACCCTATGAACCAGCTGAGTGTATGGTTAATGTTGGCCAACGAAGGGATGACCAAAAATGAAAGTTTCTGCTCTGCCACCCCCTCCGCCATGCTCTTTGGTAAATCAGATGGAGACCGGTTTGCAGTGACTCGAGATTTAACTCTGAAGCCTGGATATGTCCTGCAGTTCAAGGTATTCCTTAAACATAAATCCCTGCAGAATATTAGTAAAGCGGTCCCAAGTCCATAATTGAAAGATGTCACTGGAGTCACAGTTCAAGACAAGGTGATAACTTGTACCACTGAATAAAAAGCTGTGAAGAACACAAGTATGAATACATCCAGCATGAAATACCATTCTGCTTTCTAAAAGAATAGCCAAAACCTTGGTGCAAGGGAGCTTTTCTACCCCTCTGGAGAAATTTTAAAGCTTGTTGTTTTCAGTGCGTTTCAGAAGTGGATTGAAGGGACTGTCATTTGAGTCAGTACTAGGAAATGCTACTGCACTGTCAAGGGAAAAAGGATTTATCCCACCTGGGGCTCCATGACTACAAAAGCTTCAATGTGGTTTGCATACAATTTTTGTATTTTAAACTATTTAAGGACTTACAAGGTGCTCTGAACTCCAATGTGGATTTTTCATATAATTTACTTTCGTTGTGCCAGTGAATGTAGGCTCCAATTAGCATTCTCTTCTTTAAAGGGCTTACAAAAATTTCAGTGGCCTGACAATACATCAGAATATGGGCTCCAAAGAAAGTGTATTTGCTTTGACAAGCTCTTGTTTCTGAACCCTAATCAAAATTTTATTGAGTTTATAATGAAATCCCATTGGTGAATTCTGGATGTTGGTTGCAATGCAATTTTAATGAGCTCACCACAAATACATGGTCCTTACATAATTGGTGGATACAGATACTGAATAATTTACAAGTGGAATCATTAAAGAGATCAGATGTTTACAGGCAGCTTTTCAAATACAATTCCCACAGTTCTATAAATAGGAAAGTTTGCTAGAAATAATGGGATTTGTAAAATAATCTCATTTCATCTAAAAATTATGCTAATGAATATCTATACAAACTGAGGGATTGCAGTACAATTTCTGAGTGAGAATCACTTGTAGTTTGATACCTTAAACTGTCTAATCCCCAAAAATACTTCAATATATAAATACCATTTGTCCTGGAAAAGATGCTATTTGTCTCTTGACCGCTTTCCTCTACTTCAGTGAGTATGTTTTTTGTAGGTTTGATGATCAACAACAATTCACAAATTGTTTAGTCTGAAAAACAAATACTTTAAAAATATCACATACGCCTTCCACCACTGAAACCCTTGGCAATGTAACATAAATATACAAAACATAAACAACACATATCAGAGAACAGTGAGTTCTTCTATATAAAGTCAATTATTTGAGGCCTGAAATTATATTCCTCTCTTTTTTTGGAAAGCTTTTGAACTGGCCTGCACACAAATGTGTTAGTCCTATTTGCATGCTTTAATTTTAAACATATGGTTAAACGCTTTCCTGAGTTTGTGAAATTTCCATTTTAAATAGCTGCCTGGAATAATTTTGCATTGATAAACTCAAAGACAGTAATTTGTCAAAATTATTTCATTTTACATGAATGATTTTGTTTTACATTTTACATTCTATGGCTCAAGTAGAATTTCTGAAGTAAAATAATGAAAACTAATATTTCCTCTGATAGCTTGAAAAATGAAGCTAAAAACTTCAAATCAGCAGTTGATTTTTGTCTTGGTTACATTCTCATTTCACATTTTAATAGGCATTTTTCCATTTCATCCAATTTTGCTCTATTCTGGGGGCACAGACTGCAGCACCGACTCCCAGACATTGGTCGCGCGAGGTCAATGACTAGGCTGTGGTCAGGGCCCACAGCCCAGGGCAGGGGGGACCTGAGAGTCAGGCTGATCCTCTGGGCACAAGGTTGGACTGCCAATGGGATGGGTTCTGGAGGATACAGCTCTTCCCACTCCTCCTGGGCTTGTAGGTTCCTGGGCACAGTTTGCTGTTTGTGGCCTGTTGACCACCAGGACCTTTGAAAAGCTCTTTGCACATTCCAATGTATTGAACCCAGCAACAGTAATGAAGGGAGAGTGGAAATTTCACTGAGAAATGTGTAGGAAACAGACTCCAAGCATCGGTTTACCAGCAGGGTTCAAAGCAAGGGCTCAGAGCACTAAGCCTCCCAAACAAAAAAGTCAAAGGTGGTTTACAGCTGATAAATACAAATAACAGGACGGGTATCTTCAGCTCGTATCTGATGCTCTGCTTTTTTGCAGCTGAACATTGGTTGCACCAACCAGTACAGCAGCTCTGCTCCCGTTCTGCTTCAGTACTCGCACGATGCTGGGCTCTTCTGGTCACTCGTGAAGGAGGGCTGCTACCCTGCATCTCCAGGAACAAAAGGATGTGAGGGAAGCTCCCGGGAGCTGAGCGAGCCAACCGTGTATCACACTGGAGATTTTGAGGACTGGACAAGAATTACTATTGTTATCCCCAGGTCACTTGCATCCAGGTACGGTATGCTGCGAGCCAGTGATGCCAGTGGTACCTGTGAATTAGCTGCCTCTTCTTTGATGCTACATTAGGAAAAAGTTGCAAGCTGTGAATAAAAGCAGTGTTAAAAATCAGCAGATTTGGGAAAAATATGCTGTGCTCTCCAAAACAGGGAGAAGCTTTCCATTTTAAAGGTGCCAGAATGGTCTGTAAAATTTAATTACAAAGCAACAAGGAACCCAGAACATTTTGACATCAATTGATTCATCGTGGTGCTGTCTGTCTTTACGCATATCAGTTAGGTCAGAGGCACCAGCAAGAGGGTGGTAAGCCACTTGAATCAATTAAGGCATTTGAACAGATTTAATTTTACAGCTATCACTGGGCAAAGAAACCCTAGAAGCATACTTGAGCTGCTGTGTAATGTGCCGTGTCATGGAAGGCGACCAGGACAGCTGAAGTCAAAGAGGGAGGAATGATGGGTGTGTGCGCGACCTCAGCATCGGGTTAATACAGATGAGAAAACATCAGGTGGTAGATGATGCAAATAAGCCCTGACATCAGGAGGCTTTGCTCAGTCTTACTTGACTTTGCCTAAAGTTTCTCGCTCCCCTTGCTCCGTGTCTTACCCCGTCCGTAAACCGCCCCAGACTGATTTGCGGCCTGTTTCCAGCGTGGCCAGCACAGCCGGCAGCCATCCCTGCGGTTCCCTGGCCGTCCCCGCTGCCTCCTGCCTCTCTGCCACCAGGCAGCCGCTCTAGTGCTGCCCACGGGTTTCGGCTCCATCCTCCTGCCGCCAGCTCCTCATCCCCCAGCCCTGGCACAGGCTTTGAGTATGTGGCATGTTGTGTAGCAGGGAGTCAGTGCCTTTCCTGCAAGTAGCTGAAATAGCAGCGTGTACCGTAACAAGTTTGTCTTTTCTTCAGTAATTAGCCAATAAAAGCAGGTGCCAAATTGCACAGATCTGACATCAGCTGATTTGATTTACCCAAAACAAGCAGTGCAGAATCAATAGCAGCAATCTGTTTGGCATTATGTTCAGTGATGTGATCGGGAATAAGAAGCTCATGCTAATACATTACAAACGTTAAGTACTGCAACTATGATGGAGTCTCGGCTTTGTGGGTCGCTTTGGAAATCATGGTTCATGGGTTATCCGGAGAGCATTCCCTTTCATCACTTGGCACAAAGCACTAGCACAATGATCACCTACTTACCAAATCCCAGTGCACAACAGAAAAAAAGCAATAGGTTTAATACAAGTAGCATCTTAGTTAATCCATTGGACTGGCAGTGAGATTTTACACCTGCTCCTTGCTCTGGAACTCCTATAAAATGATTCAACTAAAAGTTGAAGATTGAAAATTAAAAACCAAAAACAAACTTCCTGTGCAGTGGGTCAGCTGGAGTAACTTCGTGTAGGCTCACTGAATCCTCAGAGCAGTTTCAGTCATACAAACTAAGGATTAGTTCACTGTTTTCCAGGAATTTCAGTTTATCATAGAATCATAGAATGGTTTGGGTTGGAAGGGACCTAAAAGATCATCTAGTTCCACCCCCCCTGCCATGGGCAGGGACACCTTCCACTAGACCAGATTGCTCAAAGCTTCATCCAGCCTGGCCTTGAAGACATCCAGGGATGGGGCATCCACAGCTTCTCTAGGCAACCTGTTCCAGTGCCTCACCACCCTCTCCAGGAAGAACTTCTTCCTGATATCTAGTCTAAACCTCCCTACTTTCAATTTAAACCCGTTACCCCTTGTCCTGTCACTACAGGCCCTTGTAAAAAGTCCCCCCCAGCTTCCTTGTAGCCCCTTCAGGTACTAGAAGGCTGCTACAGGGTCTCCCTGGAGCCTCCTCTTCTTCAGGCTGAAAAAGCCCAATTCTCGCAGAATTCTTACCATCCAAGAATAAAAATTTTACATTCCTGTAGGACATGTAGGAAAAAATAATGTCCTACAGGGCATGTTATTATTTTTCCTTTGTCGAAATTACATTGAGCAAAAAACCTTAAAGTAATACCATCCTGTAATAATCTCTGCATCACTGCCATTACTGAGTTATTTTTGTAAGCACCATAAGAAATAGATTTCTGGGATTTTGAAATGTAATTAGCAGTTCAGTTTGAACGAGTAGTGAAAGGCATCTTCAGAGTCACGTGTAATCATTGGCTCTTGTGATAAAACCATGAATCTGCTCTGTGCATCATGCTGGTGAATACAGGCCAGAGAAATAGAGGAAGTTAAAACACATCCAAAGAATCTGGAAAAAATATCCATTAGTGAAGTCACACAAAATGTAGGATGTCAGAAATATTTTTCAGGCATCTTATTTGCAAATGGCTAATTTAGGAAAAGCTCCTTTTAGTCTTAAGCAAGGAGCAGTAGATACTGGAGCTGGGAATAGTAATACCATGCCCGTGGTCATTGTTTCTCTACAGTAAGACTCGATTCCGCTGGATCCAGGAGAGCAGCTCCCACAAGAGCGTGCCTCCTTTCGGCTTAGATGGCGTTTACATTTCTGAGCCTTGCCCCAGCTACTGCAACGGCCATGGGGACTGCGTCTCGGGGGTCTGCTTCTGTGACCTGGGCTACACAGGTAAGACAACCCTTTTAGCTGGGGTTACAGTAAGCGCTGGCTGAATTAAAGCTGTAAATCTAGCATCTTGTTTTTCCTGTGTGATATTCCAAAAAAATATATGATGACATAAATTTCATGAGCTGCCAGCAAGAATGTTTTCGTTTTGGTAAATAAAATCCAGCACAGGCAAAACAGAGCAGCTGAAGGGAGCAGACACCGGTGATGTTGCTGGCAACCGCAATCTTTGAACATCACCGTCTGTATGAATGGGGAAGGGACCAGTGATGGAAGAGAAAACAAAATAAAATGTTATAAACTAAAAAGTCTGCTTAAAAGCCTTTGGATCCTCTTCAAAAGAATTGCTGCTGGTTTTGAGTCCCCTGGCCATCAGATGGCATGGGACCAGGAGAGAACATATGTTCTGACAGGCCCTTCTGTGGAAAATTCTGCTCACTTGTGGTTTCAGGGACTTTTATGCTGAAACACAAAAACAATCCCAAACCCAGTGGAAAAAAAATAAAAAAGGCGATTGACACAACCAGTTGCATGCTGCACTCTTTTCAACCCTCTATACCAACAAAGCAATAAGCTGGCTTCTTTTGTTCAATTTGTTTAAAATGAAATAAAAGGATAATATTTTCCTCTTTACATAAAATGCGTTATCAACATAAAGCACAGCTGCTTTTCACCTAGTGAAATAAGCCATCTTAGTTGAGAGGAAGAGGGCTTATTCTGCCTACAGAAATGTGTAAGAAGAGTTTAAAAAGGTACAGTCCTGTCGTCAGGGCATTTTCTTAGAAAAACATGTCACTTTTTCCTATATGGATGCAACAGAACTGTCTGCCAGTGTACTGTATCTGACCTCTGCTCTGTTCATCACAGTCTCACCAAAGCATCTCCCATATTTTTTTTTTTTCTTGAAGCATCGCATGGAACCTGTGTGTCTAATGTGCCTAATCACAGTGAGATGTTCGACAGGTTTGAGAGGAAGCTAAGTCCTCTCTGGTACAAGATAACAGGAGGTCAGGTTGGGACAGGCTGTGGCGTGCTCAGCGATGGAAAATCTCTCTACTTCAGTGGACCTGGCAAAAGGGAGGCGAGGACTGTTCCCCTGGACACCACAAATATCAGGTCAATGCTCAGTGCTGCTTCTCGCAATTGTCGGTGTATTCATGTTGTCTCCTCTCCGGTATCACAAGTGTAGATGTGAGGAGGTGTGGAATGTTTTTCTGGCAATCACAACTTGTATAAGAAATCTGAAAGGCAGGGAAATTACTTTTTTATTCATTCTGGTGTACTATTTCCTTTTTTTTGAGAGGGAAAGCTTGGGATAGAAATGGAATAGAGTAGCGGCATAGAAAATACTAACTGTTCATCCTTCTGCAAATACAATTTGCATTGTATTCTAGATGGGCAGGCAGAAGATGTGATCTTGACACTGCACAAACCTAAGACTCTGCCCATAGCTGGACAGAAAAACTCCCTTTCCACTGACTGCATTGAACTGCAGGCACGCGGATGGCGTAGCAATAAGCTGTTGTTTACTTGCCAGATGTTGTGAATTAGTCCACTTGTCAGAAGTGCAAAAAAACAAAATGAGAATTGTTTCTGGGTAGTCAAGAGGCTAACAAGCCTTCACCTCTCTCCCAGCCACCAGTGATCCCTGCTCTGCTGGTAGCAATTACCCTTTTTCTCTCAAATTGTCTAATTGATTGATATAATTAGGATAAACAAAGAGCTGTTAATTCTAATTGTTATTTAGCTTGGAATTTGCTGCTGCTTTGTCCAGTCTCTCGAGGGATCATGCACCTGAACCCTTGTCCACCCTACAATTATATCAGCTTAATAAAAGATATTTCTCCTGACAAATACTACTCCAAGAGTATGCAATGGGGTAATTTTCCGCATTGTTTAGTTTGTGGGATTATGCAGCAAAGACTGGCCACAAATTACTGCTACTGCCCTCCAGTTCAGACAGGTGGTGCTCCTTAGGGCCGTATGTGTGCTGCAGGTTAGGGGAGATGCTTAGCTGCTCCCCAGCACTGAGCAGCACAGCACCACCTGCCTTTCCTCCATCCCCTGTGTGTCTGACAAATTCTCCTCTGACAAATACGTGAATTATTGATATGATTATGTAAATTACTTAATAATTAAATTAATTAGTTGTTTGACAAATATGCTTTGGACAAGTACATATTTGCACAGGAACTCTGGGAAAATCTGAGCACTTCTTTTCTGATCCGCTGTCTTTTTAAATCTCATGCTATTAATGCTGTGCAGCATAATATTGGAAGTAACCATATCATTAAGAAGTCTGTGTTCAAATGGGATTTTTTGAGATATTCCTTCCTTCCTGGAGAAATATTTTTGTAAAATAAAAGGATTTTCTTTAGCTTTAAGATTACTTTGAAACCACTTTTAACACCAGATACTCATATTTATAGCTTTCTATTTTTATAGATTTTGAACCATTTTAAAAGCCAAAAGAAGTTTTAAAACCCTGAGCAATGGTCTTTCTTGATTTTTTTTAAATCTTTCACTAGAAACAGTGATAGATTTTGCATGGGAACATGGTCATCTGCTGTCTCAACACTGATGCAAAAATATAAATAGCCAGAGAGACACGTGATAAGAGCAACTAAGATCCCTCTTCTGAGCATGTGCTCACTTTGTGAGCCACTTTCCTGCTGCGACTGATCATTTTGTCAAAATAAACCAGCACTGAACTTTTTTATAAGCATCACAGTGAGAAGCTTAACTTCCTTTAACAAGTCAAGTTTGACACCACATCCTTGGGCTGTTTGCTGGACAGAAAAAAGCACCGGTCATCTCAAACACAAATGGGACTAGTACTGATTTTCTAATTTCTTCAGCCACATGTGTGCTCAAGGATAGGATCCCTCTCATGCAGCTTGACCAGCACATGGGCTCCTTAGACTACAGCAATTACCCCAGGCTGCTCTTATGCTCAAGGAAATAGCTACTTCAGAATGGCGGTGCAACTCATCCTAAACAGGGTTAGCTAAGGCCAGCGCTTTGTCTTCTGGAAGCATGTGTTTTTGTCATTAATTATAAGGGAATCTGGGTTGATCATGTAAGGTATCCAGCCTTCAGACAGACACCTTGCCTAGAACAGGTGCATCCCACTTTAATGTTTGAGACCATCTGTAACATTAACTGGATCTTTTTTCCTAGAAGCAAAGGCAAAGTTTGTGAGGGTGTGGAGGGTTAACTGAAAGACCCATACCCTAAAAAGAAAATAATTCTTCAGCCTAGAATTTTTTTCCACTATTGGAGCTAAAATTAATGTCACTTGAAAGAGGAGATTAGAGCAAAGTACTTTTTGCCATTTTGGTATTAATTTTTGCATTCAGTAATTCTTTGCATAGAATTCGGTTATCTTATTAGAGGTCATCTTAGCCCCTGCACAGTTATCTTTTATTTGTGTGTGGGTTTTTTGTTTGGGGGGGGAGGGGGTTGGTGACTGAGTAAACAGCAGGAAAATACGCCTTGAAAGACATACCGTTAGATATGTGGATTGAGGGTTGTGAATAGGAAGGCTGAATCTCCTGCAGTAGATTTTTAAGCTTCTTATTTTCAGGTTAATAGTGTTTTCCCAGACCTTTTAAGATCTTGTTTCATTAAATCAGGCATGGAAGAGCAAAAAATTGAAAAATATTGCAGGACATTAAAGTTTTATTTTCATTCTGAATTCCTGCAGATCTACCTATGCATATTCCCTATCATCTTGATTCAGATACAGCTTTTTGAAAGTAAAGTATATATTTTATGTAAGGAATGTAAAGAATTTTTGTTCTTTTTTGTAAGAAGTACGAAGACCCTTTCCCCCTTCACCCTTCTCTTCCCAGAGGAGCAGGGTGCATAGTGGCTCAGTGCTCCTGGCTCACTTTGTTCCAAAGGGGTTGAGATTTGCCAGCCTGAGGTGCCTGGTGCTGCTCAGGGGAGCAGCCAAACAGGGCACCACCAAACTCGGCTGTCAGGCGAGAATTTAAAACTGAAGTTACTTGCCTGAAGCCAATGATCATAAACAAGCACTCGATGTTTGGCATATACATTAAGTGCTATCATAACCTTAGCTTTGATTCTCCTGTTGTCTCCTAATTCCATTGTATGATTAACTACATGTTTTTTCACAGACATTCGGAGAATGTCCCATAGCACTAAAAGGGCTGTAAGTGTCAAAATTCATTTAACCCAGGCTACTTTTTGTCCTGCACTTCAGAAACACCCTGGAGTCTCTCCATCCCTTTCCTTTTGCATGCCCCAATGCTCCAAAAGCACAGTTTCACCAGCAGTATTTCCATCCTCCTGACTGACAGTACGATACCTGGATGCATTCTGGTTACTGAGGCTACTGCCTCCCATTTTGATGGCCTGTCCCTCTTGATGCTCTTCACTATCTCTTCGGTGACAGCATTTGCACACAGTGCCTACCTGGCAGCTAGATGAAACCCTTGGAATATATATACTTTTTTTTCCAAGTGGTGACATCTGGCTTGTTAGCTGACTTGGCTCCTGTCTGCGTTACAGACTCTGTTGCTAATGACTGTGCAACCATCCCAGAGAGCTGCTCTGGGTCAAACACTTACAGATCAGATGGACTGATTCACCCTTCTGCATAAAGGGTGGATTTTTTTGTCTTTTGTTCTTGCTTTTTACTGATTTTTACATTTGGCAAGCATAGAAGAGAATTTCATCCTAAGACTGTAAATCTTTTCACCTCTGAGACCGCTGTCTAGTGTTTTATTGCCTGAATACTGTCTCAGGCAACAGAGCTGTAACAACCAATAGGACCTACCTGGCTAAGTAGTGTAATACTGTGAGCCTGTCTGTTCTTGAGCCACCTATGGGGTTATATTATGAATCAGTCTGAAGAGTATATTCTGGCTTGTCCTGGTCCCTGTGGATATATGGAACATCTCAGACAGGAGATACCAGTTTCAGTAACAGAACTGGAGTGTGGTTGGCTTAGAATCAGAAGAGGATTGTGACATTGTGTAGATAGCAGTGGGTGATGAAAATTGGAGTTCTGTCTGCATTGTACTGGCTCTGTCTGTAGTCCTGTGGCTTGTCTGTGATTTTACCGATATCACTACAAATTAGGACCAAATCCCCTGAAGTGAAAACAGTTATCCTTGTGGGAAGTTTTTTGAGTGGCAAATCAAGCCTTGTTTCTTCATACAGAGACACAAATTCACCTCGAAATTAGTATTTAAAATAAAGAAGTTATCTACAAGCAGTAGAATGAATGAAGCCTGGTTTCCTTTAGATTTGTGTTGTTTTATCCCCCAGAAACCCTGTTTGGTAATAAGCCCACCCCACCCTATATACTCCACAAGGACAACGCCAGCACAAACAGTTTTTTCCCAAAAATATCACATTAGTGAGTACTCCAGTAGTCATAACACAATAGGCAGGCATCATCCTGAGTCAAAAACTGGCTAGGAAATAAGAAGGAGAATGGCATCGCCAACTTCCAGCATGCAAAAGGTCATTGTGGGGATGAGTCCAGGTTCCCTGCCCTGTTGAGGCGCTGTTTCGGGTGTGCAATGCAGACAACCTGTGAAGAAGGCATAGATGAGGGGGCAGTGCCATTCTCAGTCATCTCAATGCTCTTTACATTTGTTACGACCAGGTAAGACTCAGATGAATGTCAGAGACATGTAGTGAAATTGGATGAGGAAACTGCAGGACATTAATTGAGATTAATTGCTGTTATATGACACAATTATGCTCATCTGAGGGGGAATGTAAATTACTCTGACACCACAATCACAGTTAAAAATACCAGTTCAACAAGGATACCAGTGGATCCTGGTATCCTGGACTGCAGATTGGGAAAAAAAATTATCAACTTTTTGGAGCACAAGGATGGGATAATTATTAATTCCAATATAGCTAAATAGGGATGTTCCAGGCTAAACCAAAGTTCTGTCAATAAAACTAGTGACACTGTCTCAAAGGGTTGTTGTGGCTTTAGAAGGGCTGCAGAAAATGCTTATGGGAAAAAATGAGGATATGGAAGAACTTTAATGCAGAGAGACAGATGAAAAGGTTGCCATGGTTTACAGTAGAAAGGAATAAGAGAAGGTAGGAAAGTGATAAAAGCACTAACAACAGGGAAGGCTGCAAGAAAGGCAGATCAGGAACATTTTTTCCCCCATTTTATGACATGAGAACAAGAGGATATTGAATGAAATCAAAATGTATAAGTTCAAAGTCAAAGGGTCTACTTCACAAAATGTCCCATGAATGCTTTTCACTGAAAATTGTTTACATCAGGAATTTAAGGACCAAAAAGGGATTGTTGGTTTAGTGAGGATATAATAACTCTCATACTGTACTGTAAAGCTTAAACCGGTTTCCAGTTACAAGATGTCAAGGTAGGATCTGATGTAAGCAGCAGATTTGCCTTCTTTGGAGATTTTGCATTATTGTGTGAAAGAAGGAACTGCTAAATTCTGCTGCTCAGCCCAACAATACATTTATTAGGCACAGGATCAATAAACCACATCATCATCTTCTGTCTTGGGTCTTCCACTGCTTAGTACAGCCATGCTTGATTTCACTGGGAACAATACCTGATCAATAAGCCTGGAAGAAGGACCTAACTGAAAATGCCGCATCAGTTAAGAGAGAAGAGTTATCCTGACTGATCTTGTCCTATCAGAAGATAATTACACTTCTCTTCTACCCTGATTTTTTTAACAGGCTAGTTCAATTTTATGTACAAATTGGAAGCAAGGCTGTTGGTAACTCCTGCAATAGACCAAGAGCCAGGAATGAAGGTAAAACCCCTTTTCTTTATACTAAGCTTTTTGTATTTTGGGTCTTCTACAGTGTTTTTACTTCTTACTGCCTTTACAAAATATAAAAGAAGGTTTTATTTCTAACATAAATTGGTTTTGTCAGAGTAGCTGTTGGAACTGTGATGGTTTAAGAAAGACAACATCTACAAGACAAGCTGTAATAGCTTTTATTAGACTACTTGATAGTGTTGGAAAACAGGTAAATTTACAAGTACACAGGACTTTCTTCAGGTCTGCAATAAAAGGAATAAAATTCAAGTTCAGGATAAAGTGGGCAACCTCCATTTCTGACCTGAAGAAGAGTTGTGTGCCCAAAAACTTGTTCAGCTTCTAAAATACACCAGTGGGTCTAATAAAAGATTGGCTTCCAACCCAGGCTCATGCATGATCTACCCGAAATGCAGAATTATAAAGCT